CGAGGAATGCGGATTGCTTGTTCTCCGCGTGGCTCGCTCGTTTAATCCTCTATTAAAACATCACTTGTTGGAAATCTGGGCCATGAAACTCGAGTGTTTTTCAAACAGATAAATCACGCGGGCGATAGACAACCAGAATCACGCAGTATCAAAAGATCGCGTTTCGAGCAGAACTGTTCCGTCGCAGCTCTGTCATTGTTCTCAACTTGAGGGAACGAGAGGTGAGACGTTTATCTCCTCACACTAGTCAGCGCCGAGCATCGGGTTTCGAGCTACTACGCTGCTGCGGAGCGAACGAGTTCTTGGGAAGTTCAGAGCTTTTTTATATAGACGCCTTAGGCCGAGGGACGAAATTGCTGGGGAGTTTCCATCGTCGAACCGACGTCGGAATCAGAAACCCCTCCAATGCGGAAGCGCAAGGGTTGCCGTCGAGTATTTTTGATAGACTCCGTGGACTGGAGAGATTCTTGGGAGTTGGGAGTGGGCGAAAGTTTTCCCGCGGGTGAGAGTCCGTCAAAACGGGAATTCTTGAACTCCGCAAGAGATTATCTGTCCGCTTTACGCAGCGCGGAGTCGCCCTCTCGAGGACCGCGCATGTAAACCGAAGGAACGCGATCACTTAGGACGTACACGGCGAAACTCGAGTCGGCGTCCAACATCGTATCTCCGTTGGCAAGTCTGGCTGGCCGAGTCCTAATAGGGTAAGCGAGAGCGGATCATGAAACGGGTCATCAGGTGTACGGTCTCGCTCGTCCGCTCCTTGTTTGAGTCCGTATGTGGCGCCCGGAGCAGCGGCAGTCAGTATCAGAATGGTCTAATTAGATCTAGAGCTTGTTGTTTCTCTTTGCTTGTTGTTCTTGCATGTGAAGAGTTTGTTTTTGCTCGACTTGTTTGCTGCTCGGCAGTACAGCAAGTCGACTTGCAAGGGTATTCAAGTTGGCTCCGACGTGATCGGAGTTCGAGTGTGAGTGGCCCACTTTCGGTGAACTTCACGCTAACCTGAGTGGCCGGTGGACGAACGAGAGCGACTTAGCTACCATGACGGGGGCACGCCTGTGGGAAAGCACATGGAGCGACGAGAGGCGCTGTCCTGAAAGTGTTCCTCTCTCTCTCTCGGCAGCAACAACCACAGGCTATAAATGGCAAGGGACAGCTTTCATCAGGTCTGGGAGAGTCTTTAATCGATTCGAGTAAAGCAGATGGATCCGCGTCAGGCGGATTCGAGCTCGGCGCCTCGTGTCTCGAATCTGATCCCGGATCCAACGGGGGAAAGGATGCGGTTCGGGACGAAAAGGAAAACATCGGGGCTCGCGAATGTCCGGAATCGGTTGAGAATATGAACGCTCGAGCCGATCAGTCTGAGTTCATAGCGATAGAGAATCGCGGAAAAACACGCCAGGATCGGGAGAGATCTTTGATTCGCCTTTGGGCATTTTTCAATATTTAATTTCAGCAAAATTCTTGACTGGAACAGGGAATCCCACCGATTCGGAGTCTCGGGCGGAATTTCTGCAGGCGAGCAACTCGCGACATCCGGCTTATGATACTCGGAGGTCTTTGGCTCCCGCCGATGGGATTCGTGGCCCTGGGAATCGTCGAAGTTATGAAACTATCCGCTGCGTCCTGGTGGAGGCGAGGCTGCTGCTGCTGCTGGACAGAACTCAATCTCATTATCGATCTGTAGGCAAATGACGGGGTCCACTCGGACCACCGAACATGGCTCGGGAGGCATCCGAGTCGAGGATAGCGTCCGCCCTTGCGTTCGCGCTCTCCGATATGTATACACGCACTTTGCGGAATATGAGGATTCCACCCCCATGATGCTGAATTATTCATCTGTCGAGACAGAACGATGTATTCGAGTTCCATCTCAAACGTGGATAGTCCCTGGGCTCCACGATTGAGTGGAGCGGAGAAGCGGCGTTTTTTTCTGATTTTTGAGATCGAACGAATCGGGGAAATTTAAGTTGTGAGACGAGACTGGGAAATCGGAGAGCAGGGAAAGGAACATCATCATCCCTCAATCTTTCGGGATGAATGAGGTATAAATTGCCGAGCAGAGACCTTTTTTGCATCTTCATTCGTCGTCGGAGCCTGGCGACTGAGCTATATCTTTCAGTGAGACGTTTGACACGGCGCTCAAGAAACATGGGGCCGACTGTCTTTTGAGCTTTTTTGTCTTCTCCCGAGAAGTACGAAACCGTTGTTGGCCGTCATGGTAATTCGAACGCTATCATCCGTCGCAGAAATGCCACGGCAGCGATACAACAAGCGGCTTGACGTTTCCACCGGTGCTACCGCCGGTGTCGGAGTTTTGTCGTGTGGCGCTTGACCAGATGACCTAAACGGCCAACGGATCATGAGAAGCCGTCAGCCTCAGCATCGTAACCTCCCAAGGCAACGCGGTTTCGCTTGTTTTTCTTCTGCCCTTAATTTCAACGGCTGTGAAGACGGCGATTACTTGAATCAGATAATTTCCGTCGGGCTCACAATCAGCGGCTTTATCAGCTCGAGGTTCGTAGTGTAAAAATTTAGAGGTCTTTGGCGCTCTCTTCGGCAGCTCCGAGGACTTTTCGATCACGGTGCTGCCCTCGCAGAATTCTTCCAGCTAGGATCGGAGAGCTCGATCGAGAATCAGAGATGATGGCCGGAAAGTTCCGTCCCAGCGTTCAGAGATAGTTTTCCGATTCTCAATGCAATGAAATGATGACGTGATGAGGAGCAGCACCCCTCAATGCTGGCCCTTCCTTATCTGCTCTCCTGGTCGCTGACGTATGCGGCAATCAATTAAATCGGCGAGGAGAAGGTCAATCGTAGAGAGTCTGAGAACACGATAGCCGATCGAGAAATGATCAAAGGGAATTCGTAACTTCTGATCCGCGCACGATGATATCCTACCCTAGCGAAGACGACAGATACCGTATCAGAAGAGCTTCCACGTTCGGAATTTTCACACTGTTCTTCGGTTCCAAAGATAGCTCGAACGTCTACTGCGCATGCTTCATGAGCGCGATTGTTGTTCGGTGTCTCAGGCATTCAGATAGACATCTTTCCTTCCCCTCTTGAAGTGGATTTCCTCCACGGTATCGGGTGAACCGGTGGGAAGTGGATCACTGTCCGAACGAGGCATCTGTTCGACCGAAATCCATACATAACGAGACACATTAGACATTTCGATTGTTGTCATCAGCATAGGATCGTTTGCTTTCGGAACCCGGAGAGCTCTTTCCGGGTTGTGCGGCTGATGCAACCGGCACATCAACACCTTCCTCCGAGGCTTGCCGACCTCCGATGCATACCATCCCTCAAGGCGAACGCTGGGCTTGAGGCAGCGGCCAACAAATCCGCCGTCTCGAAGCCCATGATTCCCCCGGGGTTTTGGCTCTCTGGAGGGCGCTCGCTCGCCGCCTATCATCTTCTGCTTGAGAGGGAGAATCCCGAATCGAGTTCCGCAGAACATGCCGTATTTGTTTTCTCCAAAGGAGGAGTTTGGAACGCTCGACCAGTCTCTCCAGCATCGTCAGTAAGGTAAACTGAACGAAGTTGGTGGTCTGTCGAAGACAAAGTGAATTCCGTTGAAGCGGAGCCAAAGAAGACCCACCACTTGACGAGCGGCCGAATGGAAGAAAAAGGAAGGTCGCGCGGACGAGCTGAGCAGACGATCGCTTGCGGGCTTCCGAAACTCAGATGAAGCTCGAGGACATTGAACGAACTACCCATTGAATCTGTTCCCTCGTCGTTTTGCTCATCATTCGCTCGAAATCTCCCAGTCGAATAATTCAATGCTGCTCGCATTTATCGTCACAACAGAAACGGCGCGAGGTACCCCGAGATGGGGAAGGCTTTCTGGTCTTGCTCGGTCTACTTTCAGTCCTACTTCACCGAAGTAGCGTCTGAAGAACGCTTCGCGATGCAGCCTGGCGGAAGACAATGGCTCCAGGCCATGGCTGTCTTTCCGTCTCTGGAATTAAGTCAGTCCCTTCGTGTATCTGCTCTTTTTTCATCACAATTCTGTAACCCAGCCGCTCAGGCAAGAAACGCACTTTTCTTGCGGATTCTGAATGAGCCGGCGAATAGATCGACCGATAGCCGATGAAAGAATGTTGCACGGAATTCTTCTTGTCATATCGTATTCCCGAAGGATAACAGAGCATGGTAAAGACAGTGAACACAGAACTGCTCTGATTTGTCCTGTTTTCGTAAGGGCGAGTTATGCAGAACGGATTTTTTCGCTGAATCAATCTTTTTCTCTGGTTCGCTCCGAGCTCTTTTCTGGCCGAAGCAGAAAGTAAGACAGCTTGAAGTCGAGCGACACGATGAATTCTTTCTCATCCTCGGAAGGAGCGAGGATTCGGAGCGTTCAGAAGAAGTCGCTTTCTATTCTCAGTGTTTCCGTTGAAAAGCCGCTTCTTTTGTGGTGTGTCATTGGCTCACGCTGCAGGTGGACCGTTGCGACTGGATCAGGGGGACGATTTTTTTTTCAATATCAGCCATGAATGACATCTGACTGAGAGGAAATGATCGCTGCAAGTTCCTCTCCGAGTGGAACAGGGAGAGCCGACTCAGCCATCCGCAATCAAGAGCCGCTAACGTCCGACAGACGTTCCGTGGCGGTCGTTGCGTGCCGCGAGGATCCGCGGGGTGACCGCGAGCATGACTGCCCCATCAAGTGGCCGAAACATCATTGCGGCGCATGAGGAGACCGCAGCGAGATGTCGAGATGAATCCACAAGGTCGTGCCTTCATCGATTCGGACGTCAGAAACGCAAGAACTAATCGAGAAGAACAACGGACGAGGAAACGGGCGACACAATTCACAGAGGACGCGGAAGAGAGTCGCGTATCGGAGCAACGAGCGTTCCTCGAATTCGGAGTCCAACGCGATTTGGTGTCTATTTCGGGAGAGCTATAAAAAATATATCAGATGGATGAATAGGGATCTCCGTAGAAGTACTATCGAATACGCTGGTGACTAAAAATTCCGTTTTCTTCCGTTCCAGGCATGCCACAAGCCCAAACCTGGACAATTAAACATTCACATAATTTCGCATACGCACGACGATGTCGGATGGGTTCACACAGTCGACTTCTACTACGAGAACAGTAAGTTATTCCTCCGCGAAACTTCTCCCTCTCGGCTCTCCTTATTCATTCTCCGAAACTTCACGAGGCGTGGACTCGCCGAGCCAGGATCCGGCAACCCACCGTGGAGAGACGCTCGCCAAGGTCGAATTCCACGGAGCGCGGAAGCTCATCTGAATTATTCGAAGTTGTGAAAACGGAGGAGCGAAAAAAATTGAGCGTCACCATCGCACTAGCGCTCCTCGATTCGAGGGACGGTGCGGAGTACTTCGGTGCCTTTTGGAATGCTCATCGCCTTGCACCGGAGTGAAGAAGTTGACTTGTTCTCCTCAGGAATGTGCAACAGCCCTGAACAGCGAAGTGAGCCGAGTTTGTCGAAAACGGAGTGCTGAGGGGTAGTGCGCGAGCTTAGTCGTCGGCGGTCCCAGACTCCGTATTTACGCGCACTCGGCTGCGCAATCCTAACGCGGCTCGGTGGTCGCATGAACGCTCTCCGAGCTGGATCTGCGGTTGACGGCTAACATAACGGTGCATGCACGGAGCGAACTGAATCGTCGACTCCACTAGTACAACATCGTCTCGAACACGTCGAGTCCACGCTTTTGTGGCTGAGGACACGTCGCGTCGCAGCTCGGGACTTCTCTCTTAAGTCGAATTGTGAGTTTAGAAAATCTAACCTGCGGGGAGTCCGGGTGATTTTCTTATCCCACAAATTTCCCTAAGCTTCGTGGATAGAAATCAGAGTCGGAGATCGCGGCTTCTGCTGCAGAAGGCGCTCAACTCGACTTGCAACGGGGGCCTTCGTGGGGCTGCGAGTGCCGACTGAGCAAATAGCCTCGCGCCAGCGGTACATGGACTTCCGCCGTTCGCAGTCGGAACTTCAGGCCGCCTATTAAATTTCGCTCGCCCTGGAGCGCTTGGAAATGAATATCCGAGACGCTCGGCTTCCGAGCAGGCGAACCCTCACGAGCGCACCTGGGCATAGTCGGGTATCGGGCCTGATGAAATCTATTTATGACTGGAGGAGGAGCGTTCATGCATGTGAGCATTCGTGATGGGATGATGTCAACTGTATGTGAAGCGATGCTCTTCGGATATTCTTTCTTTCGAAACCGGTCGAACGTCGATAGGCTTCGAGCTTTATTGCAATGTGTCTGGGAGAAACTCCCGATATATGGTGGATCGCGGCCATGGCCGACAGAATTGCTGGAGAAATACGTATCTCGATCGAAAATCCGCGTGACGATAACGAAATGAACTTGGATGATGAATCATCATCCAAGTTTAACTCGTTGATCAAATCATTAATGATCATTGATCACGATTTCATCCCCACTCAATCGGTAGATCTCTGTTCCCTTCCGATGGGTCTCGGTTTTTCTGTGCTCCCCCTCCCATGCCGCTGATGTTTCTCGAGGCTCTCCGATCATGCGTTGGAAATTTTCTTTCACGTCATTGCTGATTTCATCCACTCCCACCGGGAGTGGGTCCAGCTTCCCTCTTGGTGTGGGGGGGCAAGTCGGATTTTGGCGGCTTGTGGTCTATGCTCCCACTCAAGGAAAAAATGAATACGCGAAAACAGGTTCCGCGAGAAGGGGGGACAATCTCTCTGCCGCTAACGCCACTCGTACGTACAGTCATCTGGTCAATATCTTCTGGCGGAAATCCCATTCTCGCCAACCGAAGAGCGAACATTTTCTCTCGCTTATCCTCTGTTTGAAGCACCGTCTAGGGTGGAACGTATGGCACAACAACGGATCGCGTTCTCTGAGCGCGGTCTGACATTTATACAGGCCATTGACTACATTACTTGATGAAAGCCTCGCCGGAGAGCAGCGTATGCGTAGCTTACGAGCCCATGCAGAGGCTACTGAGCTACATGCTGCTTAATATTAGAGCTTCCGCTCGTGTCAGAGGTAAATTTAGAGGCCCTCCAATGCGGGCCGCAACGATGAAGAAGGACACCAATCACTTCGAAAGGTTTCGGGTGGATCCTATTTTTCTAGCCCGCAGATCCAATATTCGACTCATGGAACAGCGGGACACGCTTCGAATACAGAAGAAGTCAGGTCCTCCACTGCACCAAGATCTTGCGAACTGAATCATGTCAACCGCTCGGAGGTCGGACAGGTGATCTCGGATCGTGCAAAAGTTTCAGGAGGATGGATGAGAATCCTAGGGATCTGGGGTGAGCCACGGAATCGTCAAGAAACGAAGAATACATAATCTCATCGCAGAGGATGTGGACCCGCGCTCCGTCGCGCAGTCAAGCGAATTTCGCTGTTTGACGCGAGCGGAGCTGGACGACTCCAGGAAAGATAAAGAACTTCGGTGTGCCTGGGTATGGCCTTTGTAATCCTTTGGGGAGGAGGTGCATCGTGCGCTGGAGGCGTACAGCAAACTGCCCGATTCCATGGGCGGCAGTCACGCCACATTCCGTGCAGCCTATTCGAACTGCGTGCAGTCAGAACCGACTCGAAATCCTTAACCGAAAGTAATTTGAACCGTCTGAATGGAGAATGTTTCATGTGGCGTCTCTTTTTGGCGGAGCCGAGACGTTAAACGATGCTCTCCGGTTGGCTCCAAAAACCGCAGCAGCGGTTTCCCCGGGGGAAAGTCCTCTCGTTCGACTCCAAACCTCGGCAGACGTCAAACCGACCGAGCAGCGACGTGGCGAACCACGTCCGCGTCGCTTTCAGGAGTGAATCCTCCGCTCAAGGCCAGCATATCCGCCCCACCCACATGAGCTCAGCCGCCCAGGTTCGGGGTCAAAATGCGAAGGTGGATTCGGAATAGAGGCGAGGACGGAAAAGAAAAAAACCGAGCGTATCAGTCTGAGTGAGTGAAATATGAGAACTCAAACGAGGGCTTCGCGGAGCCTTTGCGGATGAATACTTATATCGGGAACTGAGAATCACCGGGCGGATTAGAGGCAGATGCGGAGTGAAATTTGATCGAGTGCTCGTCAGCGTCGTGGCAAAAATATGTTCTCGGTATTCTTCCACAGCTTGTCGACTCTCGGAAAGTATCGTCCGATGGTCGGAGTTGTCGCGATCCGAGTCCATGTCCCTCGCTCCGGAGTGACTGAGTACTTACTCAAGGTGCTCGACGCATGAGAAGCAAAGAATAAGAAACATCCCGCCAAATGAACGAGTTTCTCGAGGAACGGCCGATCTTCGCTCGCCCACCCGTCTGTCTGACCGTCGATCGGTCGGTCGGTCGGTCCGCTCGGCCTGTTTCCGTGGAACTGAAATGCAATTTCGTTTCTCTTCCGGGAAGGCTCTCGGGTATACTGGCGAAGTGAGTGGGCGGCGGCGGCTCGCTTCTCTTAAGACTCGTGCTAGTATATGAAGGGAAAAGTGAGCGAGGAGGGCATGAAAAAAGGGCCCTCCAGACGGAGTAGTCTGAATTGAGTTACGGACTTTGAATTACACACTCTTCGCTAGCGATTCGTGTAATATCAACTCCGCCCCGCAGATCGGACTCAGATTGCTGGCCGGCCCCCGTTCCAGCGCCTCGCGTTACCTCTCACTCGTTAAGAGGTCACCGATTAGTAACGCAGACGTGCTTTTCTGGTGGAGACCGTCACATTCCTGTGACAACCCTGCTAGAGTTACACATGGCCCTGGACTCAGACCTTCCCAGGAGAAATAAGCGATGAACACTTCGAGGTGTCTCCTTGTGCGGGCATCGTCCGGAGGACTTACTCATGGGTGGCGGGTCCGGGCTTATGTACCGGAGCTTCGCGCGCGCGATCGAGTGATCGTTCTCTTCCGGTCCAAAATCTCAAATCTTCCGAAGGGGAATAACTTCGATCTCGCTGCTGATTCCCCGTCAGGATCGGGACCCTGTGAACGACGGTTTTATAACTCGTGCATCGGAATCCGGCGCTGATTCAGCTGGATAAGTCCGAAATATTCCACCTGACCGGTGAACTTGAAGCTGTGCCGAACGCTACCGGGGTTATTCGCGCCGACTGATAGAGACACCGACCGAAAGGCACTTCTGGGCTCTTCGCTCATTGAGTCTGGGACTCGGTCGCTTATTTTCGCTCACTTATCAGACTTGGAAGATCGCATGAGTCGAGAACTCCTGAACTTCTGAGGCTCCGAATTCCTGTAGAACTTGCCGGGACATATTTTTTTGTCTCGCGCCGCGCATCGATAAGCTTTTGGGTTTCAACGTATGTATCTATGATCAGATCATCCAGATCGTGATACATGTCAGGGGCGTTGGCCATCTCAGCAATCCGCATATATCTTAGTGTGTGCGCGAGAGAACATATGAGGATTCGTATTTGATGAATCATTGCGCGACTCCGCCCTGGGACGCCTCGTTGGCTTGCTGGTCGGTTGTAAAGTAAGCCTCTTTGTTGCTGTGGGCGAAAAGAATTTCAAAATTATGTTCAATTCTGAGGCTTCAACGGGTGGATCGTTCCAGTCGGCGCAGCTCCTCTGCCTCCCCTCGGACCGCTCCGGAATTTCGCTCAAGGTTCTCTCGTTTCGATCCTATGGACTCGCTTGTGCGAAGCACGAGGTATGAACGAGAGAGGGGATGGAACTGAATTCTCATATCGATTGGCCGAAAGAGATATCAGGGGTGTCGCTGATTGATACGATCAGAAGGGAAACCATCCCGACCCCTTGAAAATCAATCGTGGAAAAAATACAGGTCGTTTTATGTTTCGCTGAATTCCGATAGGAAGAACATCGTCACCCGAATGATTGATGAGGATGAGGTTCCGGCCGGATGGTCGGACTCTGTCCGGAGAGACCCCCCTGCGAGATGATTACCAGCACCGAATTATCGCAATTCTCAAGTTCGGAATCTCTTATGCACTGCTCTTTATCCTCCGATTTCAGATGTGAAGTTCATTATCGACAGTGTCATCGACGAACTACAAAAAGACGAGGAACGCAGATTCATTTACGTTGAAACTGCGTTCTTCAGTCGCTGGTGGGACAGTCAGACGGAAGCGACGAGGAACATAGTCCGAGATCTGGTTAACACGGGTAAGTCATTGCCTGTTCCTGTTTTTATCATTTCTTAGTAGCGTCATGATATCCTCCAGTTCCCCATCCGATGGAGTCGCGTAGTGCATTAGCGGTTGACAGGCCGCCTGTGCTATGCATGACAGGCAAATCAGTAGATTCAGACCAAGAGTCTGTCTTCAAGTTCCGTCATTCAGCGAGCGTCCTCAGACATTCTCCTCCCGAGGGAAATATAATACCAGATGGAAGTTTCATCCCGGGGAATGATCGCAGGATAGGGAGTGACTGGCTTGCTCTTTTTTAAGGAGCGCTGGCAAGCTTGCGCATGTCTTGGACTCCGTATAATACATACGAGCCAGAATCCGTTTTGAATGTTTTTTTTTATGTAAGCCCAGTTCTCGTTTATGTGATGGTAAGTTCAGAACATTATCGAGAGAATATGAGCGCGGATTCTATGTTAGAATCCCGAATAATCTCAAGCCGCTCTGGGAATAAATCCAAATAGTTGCTGAGCCGTCATCTTCGGAGTCTTCTGATTGCCAAAAAGCCTGCTCCGGGGGGCGACACGACGGACGGACGGAGGGAATTCCTGCGGAGAGGAAGTCTTTGCATTAGGACGCACTGGATTGAAGTTCCCGTAAATCATGAGGTCGCTCCAATCGACCGTCAGAGCGGCAGCGTCCCGGGAGGTGGGGAGGGATAGAGTATTTTGGACGACAGTCATGGAGATGCGGAAGGCTCATGAATGAGTCGAGAGGAAAGGAGAGCAAACTTCCCTACCTCCTCACATAATAATCCTTTTAATGATGTTTCGGGGGTCTTTAAAAGCAGAACGGTCTCGGGATGACGGATCATCTCTGAACGGTAAGCCGGCTTCCGGCTCCGAGGGCGAAACGACGGGACACGGAAGTCCAAAGATGCTCATTAAATTCCGGTGGAGCTCGATATTGAAGTGGATGTTTGTTCGGAGGGGAGAAATACTCGACGGCCCTCCCTGGAACAGCGCACGAGACGCCCTGGATAATGACGATCACGTCTTTTCCCCGTTGAGATTGTACGATACGTCGGTTACGGACATCCGGTGGATGGGCGATGCTTGGCTCGAAGTATTGAGTTCATTGCCCCTGAATTCCTCGAGTTCGGCTTCATTATAGTCTCCGACTTTAGTCTGTAATGAAGTGCTGCTGAACATTAAGTTGAAGCTGTTTCCTTCTCTACATATATTGCGGGTAGGAGATTGATGGCTTTTCTGTATTGACACACTTGTGCCAGAACCGATGATTATGCTAACAAAGCCGTCGCTACCTCCGATGTCAGCGGGCGATGTCTTCTCCGAAGAGCCTATCGAAAGTTTTGACTATCAAAAGACAGCCAACTTTCAACCAAGTGGGCTGAGAGTATACGACGAACTCTCCCCCTCTCTCCCCCTCGATTCACTTTCTTCCTGCAGACAGGCTGCCATCATTGTCGAACAGGATAAGTCGTCTCTGCCGCCCGTGTTTTCTCCCGGCTGGGGATCGGTCCCACGAACCAGACTTCATGGGATCGGAGTCTCGAATCTTTCTCGAATAGAACATGCCCCAAATAGGACATATGCAGACGATGTCCCGGAAAAATCCATACGAGCTGAATCGCAGTTTTTCCTTCCGCGGCAGTATCGCTGAGTTCCAATGTGTTCATTTCAGGTCGACTCGAGTTTATATCGGGAGGATGGTCGATGTCCGATGAAGCCACAACTCACTATTCGGCGCTCATCGATGAAATGACTCTCGGCACGCGGTGGCTAAACGATACGTTCGGAGAATGCGGTCGACCCAAGGCCGGATGGCAAATTGATCCCTTTGGACACTCGAGGGAACAAGCCGCGCTTTTCCGTAAGGTAATGTTTTCGCTTCAGCCGATTCGACTAACACATTCGTACCGTTTGTAAACGAGAAGAACCATTCGACCCATTGAGCGAAAGAGGAGCCTTCGCCCGATATCCTCCTTCATCGCGTTCTTTGTTTTGACATCCTTGGAATTTTCGCTCCTTCTCTCCGATTCCCGGTCCCGCTCCCGTCGTACACTCTGAATAGAATCTCAGGCAGCCTTGAATACCTCCCAAAGGAGTACTCGACACGCTCGTCCTTCGTTGCTACGAGGTCTCCCGTGGCCTCACAAATTATCGCTCGTCCCGCTTACGGTCGGTGCATTCCCACGTTTCTCTTCCGTCACACGGTCATAATTTCCCGACGACGTCAATCGGCACTCCTGCCAATCGCATCGTCTCGCATCGTACTTACATACATCGACATCGACCTATCACTCGGGCGTTCATTCTGCGAACACTTCTCCCTCTCTGCTCTTCCGGATTGATCAAAAAATCAGGCGGGAAACCGTTTTTTTTTCTCCTCCGCTGGACTCGTCGGTCGAGTGCGACTGCCTGAGGAAAAGTGTTTATCTCATGAATAAGACGCGAGGCATGGGAGAGGCAGCTTTTCGGACTATTTGCCCTTGAAAAAGGATCAAGCGATTCATTATGCATCCTCTAGCGGCTATACGGAGGGAACAATTCCGGCACGGACTCCTCTATCGGAACGTCTACGGAGGAAGTCGAATCTCATTTCTGGCTCTCATGCGCATGAGTAGGAATAGTGACGAATTCTCGAGAGACTTTTTGTTTAGTCTATTGTGGATCCTTGAGCAGACACTGGCGAAAAATATGGTTTTCCCCCATCGGACTTCGCTCTGGGCGAAACAGGACATTCCTCCCCCCAAGGATACATACAGGGTGGTCATTTTTAGTCGGGACTTTTTTTCCCTCTGCTCGTCCCGGCCCTAACTTTTGAACGGCTGGATGAAACTATATGAAATAACCCACCAATCAACAGCTCTCGCCCTGACTGACACGATTCCGTCCCCAGCGGTGACGATTTCGGCCAGTATCACCTGTTGCGGGCGTTTTGGAAATGATCGATCACTTTTTTCTCGTCGCTCCACGAAAACGCCTCTTTCTCGGCGACCGCTTGGTCGATCGGGCTCAACCTGGTTGCGTTCGACGCGGGACAACCTGGCGGAGGTATGCCATAAAAAAAATTCAAGTACCTTGTTCCTGGGGGAAACGCGGAAGGGGTAAACTTTGGTTTGAAAATTGGACAAATTTACCAAAATTCCGGGTTGTCGCTAAACTCAGTCGATAACTCCTCAGGGAAGCCGAATTCGAAAATTTTCATGATGGCTAAAAGTGCTTAAAAAGGGCCAATTCACCCGATCTGGGGGTCAGCGGCTTGATCCGACGAGTTTTTTTTCTACGAAAATCGTCATCTCGAAATTCTCCTCGTGGAACGCGGAATACCGCTTGGGAGCGCTGATGTTGTGTTCAAGCGCGCGCTCCAGCCTCTCAGCATGCTTCCGAGCGATGGCGCTCTCGGATTTCCAACGGTCGGAAGCCGCCGGCATCAGCCATTTTGAAAAGGGAAGAGCCGCGCGAGTCCTCTGTGCATCATTTCGCTGTCGAATTCGGGATCGCTGCAATCTGAGATACGCAACTGCCACAGCCGTGATCTCAGTGAATTCATTGTGTTCTCCGGACTCTCAAGTTGATATCTGCAAGATGACTGAAGCCGGAACAAGCAGGAACCACCGTTGGGAAGAGATGATCTCCTGGGGCGTCTTACCTTCCACCAAACTGGCGAGGACCGCGTGGCGTTTCAACTCTTCCCTCACACTCTTCCTTTTTCAAAATGGCTGATTCCGGCCGATTCCGACCGTTGGAAATCCGAGAGCGCCATCGCTCGGAAGCATGCTGAGAGGCTGGAGCGCGCGCTTGAACACAACATCAGCGCTCCCAAGCGGTATTCCGCGTTCCACGAGGAGAATTTCGAGATGACGATTTTCGTAGGAAAAAAAAAGTCGTCGGATCGAGCCGCTGACCCCCAGATCGGGTGAATTGGCCCTTTTTAAGCACTTTTAGCCATCATGAAAATTTTCGAATTCGGCTTCCCTGAGGAGTTATCGACTGAGTTTAGCGACAACCCGGAATTTTGGTAAATTTGTCCAATTTTCAAACCAAAGTTTACCCCTTCCGCGTTTCCCCCAGGAACATGGTACCTGAATTTTTTTTATGGCATACCTCCGCCAGGTTGTCCCGCGTCGAACGCAACCAGGTTGAGCCCGATCGACCAAGCGGTCGCCGAGAAAGAGGCGTTTTCGTGGAGCGACGAGAAAAAAGTGACCGATCATTCCCAAAACGTCCGCAACAGGTGATACTGGCCGAAATCGTCACCGCTGGGGACGGAATCGTGTCAGTCAGGGCGAGAGCTGTTGATTGGTGGGTAACTTCATATAGTTTCATCCAGCCGTTCAAAAGTTAGGGCCGGGACGAGCAGAGGGAAAAAAAGTCCCGACTAAAAATGACCACCCTGTATATTATGCTACTCTTCATTGACCCTTCCGGCGTTGGGCTTCCATCAGAACAGGGAGGAGAATCGTAACCTCGGACTGGATGGGATCGGACGCTCTTAGACGGCCATTAGAGCTCGGACACTCGTCACGCAAAGATTTTTTCCCTCTAGATAATGTTCGAAGCGAAGCTCCTCTTGTGATCGGCTCGGATAGAACTCGGAGTGTGTCCTCCGGAGAACATGAACGATCCCCTCTTCTACAAAGCGCGTCGACATATGCAGCGGTTATGCCAGCTGTAGTATCTCTCTAAGTCCGTTTTCCAGCCCATGAGAAAAACCAATGTCGATTGAGGCATGAGTATTACCCCTGCCGGGTATCTCACCTCGAGACGGACTCGGAACGGAGCGTGTCTCTCACTTCCTCTAGCGTGAAGCATACAACGGTCCGACGCGGCAGCCGCCACTGCCGCCGACGAAGACAAACCTCCGATTCCGAGGGGCTTTGGAAGGATTTCTCGACGCCATTGGCGAATCCGTCGACGAGGATCGAAAGCGACGAATGGATTTGGGATACGCAGCCATTGAAATTCAATGATTCCTAACTGACACTTCTCAACAGATGGGCTTCGACGGAATGTTTCTGGGACGAATCCACTATGAAGAGAAGGAGTGGCGTGAAAAACACCGACAAATGGAAATGTTGTGGCAGACGGATCCTTCCCAAGGTCGTGAAGGAGAACTCTTCCTAGGAGTTCTTCCAAACGTCTACTGGCCGCCGAAGGGTTTCTGTTTCGACATGTACTGTAACGACGAGGAAGTCACGGTGAGCTGAGAGTCCCTTACCTCCTTCAAGTCACGTTGGATTTATTTTTTGACGTTCATTCAATTTCTTGACGTTCATAACGAACCCTCTCACCCGAGTCCTATGGGATTTTCTCTCGGCGGCGACTCTGTTTAGTTTTCGACGGAGCCATCGCCCAGCGGAGCATTCACTCTCGAGCGACTGCCCTCTCGGTAAAAGTTCCTCTATTCCAGACCCTGAATGGAAGGCGACGCGCTCAGGAGTTGATGACAGTAGCGCGTGAACAAGCTCGGCATTACAAGACCAACAACACCGTGTTCACCATGGGTCTGGACTTCCACTACCAAGATGCGAACAAATGGTTCCGTAATCTAGACAAACTCGTTCATTTCATGAACCAGATCCCCGGTGTTAATGTGTTCTACTCCACGCCCACGTGCTATCTCAAGGTTAATATCGTGACATTGCCCATTTTGACAACCAGACAGAGGAGGGAATGAGCAGCAATGAGCTCCAGGAACGACTTACGTCCGGGATCTTGGGCCGTACGAGCCGCTTGCGTTCCCAGATCATCATTTCCTTAATCACTCCTCTGGTGTGACATCAGAAGGAGAGGAATTTTCCGTCTCCGTCGACGAAACTGAGTCCTACGCGTAATTTTCCAGGCATTGCACGATGAACGCGTAACGTGGAATATTTTCGACGAAGATTTCTTCCCATACGCCGATAATCCTCACGCCTACTGGACGGGCTACTTCACGTCAAGACCAAATTTCAAGTTCTTCAGTAGAGAACAGAACGGATTTCTCCAAGCGTGCCGTCAGTTGGAAGTTTTCGGCCGTACGAAAGACCAACTGGCACACGACACTCTCGGTGAGTCGCGAATTTTTTCGTAGTGGGGCTCGGCGGAACCGGCCAGCGGCGGCAAAATAAATCCGTCTCTTCGGGCTCTCCTTGCTTAGGCACACGACTTTTGGTTCCGCGCTCTGGCTGCTCTTGATAAAAAAAATGTAATTAATCGCTAGGCTCTGCGTATGAAGGTAGTCGAGTTTTTGGCTCTTTTGCCGTCCCCTTGCTCTGATGGAACTAGACACAAAAATGAACACAAGTATGCCTAATGGCAAGACACAATTACACCGCCTTGGACCCGGTTCTCCGGAGGCCTCAAGGAGCAGCCGGCAATTTTTCCCTCTACGAGAGCGTCCAACGTCGGAGTTCAAATGGAGCATACCTGGTGGCGAGGGAGCCCTTGCCCCGAGGAGTAACCCGTCTCGCCATGCTCCAAGAGATCTCCTTCGTTGGCTGTGTCTTCTCCTTCAAACAGTTGAGGCTAGGAACGATCGATTCCCTCGCTAACGATGCTTCCACCTCTCCTCGATTGCAGCTCGTGCCCTAGGAGTTATACAGCATCACGATGGAATGTCGTAAGTACCCTGCACTGGACTAAGGAGATGATGTTCCGTACGGCTAAAATGCTACCGATCGTAGGTAGGTTCCGTCAATCGTTCGCCGAAAACAATACGCGACGAGCAGCTGCTCAAATCTCTTTAATTTGCTGGCGGTCCGAGTCGAACGCGGATGCCTCGACTTTCCCGAGGTCGAGAAGTTCAAAGGGGACGACCCCAAAATGCAGAGTCGGAATTCTTCTGCAGAGATCGAAGAGGCTCATCGACGAGTGATTCATTATGGCCAATTATACGCTGATCTCGCGGTTCGGGGGAGCTGGTGGAAATTTTCCACGAGAGGTCAGAGCTGAGAGGAGCTATTCAAATAAAACTGGAGCAGAATTTGAGCTCAGAGAAGTCGTTGGAACCTTCAACGGAGCGGAGCTAGTTTATCAGAAGCTTCTTGGAGCTCACCGGAAAACTCGCTCCGCCTCGGGGCCAGAGAATTGGAGGTCGGTGAGGTTTCTTTCGAGATTTCCGCGTGGGAACAAGCGGGCAGAATCGGAGAAAACGAAGCCACTTCTGCGACGAGGACGACCTCTTCTAAAAGACCTCAATAGCGATGGTCGATTTTGTCGAAACGGCACGTCCCGTCTCGTGCATGCTCCTCCGGTGTCGTTGATTCGCGCGACGTTATTGCCGGGATTCTGTGCGTCTATCAGCCTATATGGCAGCTCCTCCGGCATCGTTGCCCTCTCGCGTTTATATCCTCTTCACTCGAGCGCGCCTTTTCCTCTCCTTCAGGAGGTACATCGAATTTCTGAGGTAGAACGCAGTTCGGCGAAGTCGATTGGACCGGCTATTAGGAAGACGGCGACTGGATGTCATCGTCATGGGCTCGAACGCTATTGTCGGAGTTAGCCTGAGGCAAACTCTCGTTTGAAGGCCCTTCTGGCATCTAGTCGCGCTGTCCACGTCGATATTAACCTTATGTCCATTGATCCACATTCTGCTGCGGCGGTGACCTCGTTTGTTCTGTCTACGTGACAAGCACCGGCAGCGGCTTGTCCCTCAAGGCAGACGAGCGGACTAACTAGATAGAACGATTAAAGCTCGACTGTCTCCAATCAGTCCGTCAGAGGAGTGGAAGTCCCCGAATCTCGGCGGCTGGAGTCTCCGAGTTCCGGCATCCGATAACGATAACTCTCGTCGATCTCGAATAGAATTATTCACAATTCTCGGAGAGATCTCTCGGCGAATACCCACCGAGCTCAAGTCATTGCTTTTCAGCGGAACCGAGAAACAGCACGTTGTTGAAGACTACGTCCGCATGGCCCTAGCAGGAACTAAAATCTGCCAAGTGAGTTGTTCATTGTTCGAGGAGGTAGCCCTCGAGAGTTTTGTCCCCGGAAACTGTTCAGATTCGGGATCCGTTGCCAGGCTCGAGTGACATCGTTTCCTCTCCCTACAAGGATCAGCTCAGTGAAGCGTTCCAGAATCTCCTTGAACCAGATTCGGATCGGAGCACAGTTCGCTTCTCGTTCTGTCCTTGGCTGAACGTAAGTGCGTGTGACGTCTCTGAAAGGTCCAACAACTACTTCGTTGTGGCCTACAACCCCTACAGTAGGCCAGTCAGAAGCCACGCAAGGTAAGCTTGCCACAATCCACAGTTATTGGATACCTTTTTCCTTGCGGTAGTCCGCGACAATGACTCGCTGCCGAGGGGTAGAGTTACAAGCCTTAGGGAGGCAATACTCATAGACCAGGCCGAGGACGAGTGTTGCCCGCCAAGTCCGAAGCTCCCCCTGGGCCCTGTCGTCCATCGCCCATCCCCAGCCCCTATTCATTAGCCTCCATAATCTTCGAATCAGATAGGAGCTTCGTCTTTTTCCACAGACTCCCAGTTCATCATGCCGGATACCAGGTGACCTTGGAACCTAAACGCGCCGTCCCAGTACAACTCGTCCCGGTAGACGACGGAACCTTGCGTATACCGGAGCGAAGGTCCACCGCCCAACAATCTCTGGTTTTTCCCATCGAGATACCGCCTATGGGAATCCGAGTTTACAAGGTCCGTGAGGAATCTTCATGAAGCCCAGTAACTTGGAATCCATACACTGAGAATTCGCTGCGGATTCAGTAGAAGCCTAAGCTTGGATGTTCACCTATTTCTCGTGCATCGGGTCAGAGACCGAGTCTGACGAAAAGTTTTTCGATACTTTGTCCAGGTGGAGTCGGTTGAGAGCGCGGTCCGAGACTCGGGAGACAGTGTGCTCCTTCCGGTGGACCTGGACGATTATTCGATCGAAAACGAAGTCTACAAGCTCACCGTCGATCCGACCAGTGGTCTCGTCAGCACGATTCTTTTGAAACATCTCAATATCCAGATGCCTTTTAGACAGTCCATATGGAAATACTACGCCTATCAGGTATTCCCACCGGCGCTTCGTGTCGCATCTCAATGCACTGCAATTATCCAACGAGAGCAAATCTTTGTGGATAGACCCAGCAGATCGAAATACTCACACTCACGTTCGTCGTTCGCAGTACTCGATGAGCTGGAGCTCGGAGAAACCCTCTGGAGCATACGCGTTCAATCCTAACGAGGATAATCCCGTCGACATGGCGCTAAACGTCTCGTTCCGGATCGTCAAGGGTTCCCTCGTGCAGGAAATTCATCAGATATTCGACTCATGGGCTACGCAAGTGATCCGTCTCTATAAAAACGAGGAGAGGATCGAGTTCGACTGGACTGTAGGTCCCATCCCATTCTAGTGAGTTTCCTCTTTATTTGCTCTTCGCAAGGAGCAAGAATTTTCCGTGGTGGCGCGCACCGACCGCACGGTTGCTCGTGTGACCACAGATTCTCTGACCCGTCGATCGATGTTTTTTCAAGTGATGAGAAGGGAAGTTTCGGCAAGGAAATCGTCCTGCGCTTTGAATCGAATCTGCTCTCGGACGGGGAGTTTTACACCGACTCTAATGGTCGTCAAGACATGAAGCGAAAGTGAGTTCCCGCCTATTCCCTCAAATAAGCTATCCGACTCGGACCGTATCGGCCCGGGAGAGAGTGAACTTCGGCCCCGGTCCCTCCCGGTCGGACGTATCGACAGAGTTCGTATTGTTGACCATTCCGTCGACCGTGTTGCGGGCGAAAGGCATGCCTACGTTCACAATTGATCAGCATCGTCGGACTCCCAGCGTCTGACGCACGGCTCGCTACGGTTTGTTCTTCGCTAAATATTGATCTTGACATTGTCAGGCGAAACGCTCCCTATCCTTGGCGACACAATATGACGGAGCCGACCGCAGGAAACTACTTCCCCGTCGTGTCCTGGATTCATCTGCAGGACACCAAGAGGAACTTACAGATGACTGTCGTCCCTGACAGACCCCAGGGGGGCAGTAGCTTGAAGGACGGCATGCTCGAACTCATGGTACTAAGTCGTTCTCATCGTTGTCATTCCTCACGTCGGGAACCCCATCGCAGATCTCCGACCCTTCCTTCCGAGTGTTCCCCGTGAGAAGTCTAAAAGAAGCGCTCCTTATTTCTTCAGGTGCATCGCCGTCTACAATTTGACGATGGCTTCGGGGTCGAGGAGCCTCTGGACGAAATCGGCGTTGATAGGAAGGGTCTAATCGCCAAAGGGAAAACCTACGTCACTTTCGACGAGATTCCCGTCGCTCAGCGACGAATGAAACATCTCGCCAACGAGGTTAGCGCAAATGGGACATCGTTTCGTTGAACAAGCATCAGGTCACTCGATCTGTGATAATGGTGGTCGACCCCTCACTTTGTGATTCTCGCGTGCTCAAGATCAATCCACCTCAGAATACAAACTCGGAGCATTCGCTCCGAAGTTGAAGAGGGAATTCGAAAGCGGGCAGACGATCATTTTATTCTCGGTCCACGACCAGCACTGCTCGGTTACGACTACGAGGCGCTCCCACTTCGAATGTATCCTGAGAACCGCGATCACGTACTCTAAACCCTAAACTCTGTCCGCAGCAAGTGTATCGACCGGTGCTTAGCTTCCTGAGAACGACATCGACCGACGGTCAACACGTAGCTCAGCTTCGGAATCCTAATTTCAACGGACTCGTTTCCACACTGCCCGAGAGCCTTCACGTGATGAGCGTAGAACCTTTACCGAATCGCGAGCTGCTCGTCCGAATTGAATATCTGCACACACAAGGACCGCCGGTCACGGTCGACTTCACCGTAAGATCATTGTCACGTTCCATTGAGTACGATTGATTACATATATAATGACCGACTTTACGCAATCTCGGCGCCTCGATGATCTCGAGCGATGCCTCAAATCACCTCAGCCTCGAAGAGAAGCTCATTCGAGTGTTTTTTCCGAATCTCTCCAAGCGAGGCGAGGGCGTCGTTTTCGAGCCCCGAACTGCTTCGCTGACCTATTTCCACATTACTTCCAGAAATTGTTCACTACGATCCGAGTCTACGCTGCCTCCGAGACCGTGATCTCTGCCAATCAGTATTTGAAGGATTCCGCGCCGTTCCGATGGTACGCGCATCATCCTTCAGAGACGAAAGCACCCTTGCCCGAATCTCCATTGCAGCGGGTTTTCCGACCCGGGGATCTACGAACTTTCATTCTCACTACCAATTATTGAGAGATGGAGCGGACTTGGGTTTTCTCTTTAGAAAAAACTTGAATTGATTCGGCTTGTTGATCGAAAATGAAAGATTTGACTCGATTGAGCGAAGGCATTAGAAGAAATGGATGGTCACCGGATAATCGAACCCAAATGGAGTGCTTAAGGCTTGTTGACGATGAATAGTTGAAGTATCTGTACAGAACAGTTCAAGTTGAGCGCGGATCTTAGTTACACATATGAATGTTTTTAGAAATGTTGACCCGGGGAAATCGAAGCTAGTCAATTGAGGAATCAAACTCTGTATGTTATAATTAGCGTGAGATGCATAGATAATCTCTCCCTTATTTTGAAACCCGATCCGGGGAAGAATGTCGACACTCCAAAAAAGGAGATGCGAGGCTAGCCCAGAACTCTGTTGCCTCGGGAACGCGGAGAGACAGTATATTTATGATCGAATAAATGAAAATATTTACCTACATCGTCTCCTTGATGACCAGTGCTTGGAGACAAGACGTCTGCTCAGATATTATCTCATGGATCCTCTCCGGAATTGTTGAGGGAAACTCATTCGCTCCCACCCGTGACCCGACGCCGACGTTCATTCTTCCGTGGAGCATAGGTTCTGAGGGGGTGCAACATCATTCTTGATCCTCGTCCCTTCTTCATTGATCACTCTCCCCAGCCCGCCAGGGAATCGTACGTAAGCGCCGGCATTACGGGGCTCGTTGGATGGGCAGGAACTCGTTTGCTCTGTGCCCAGGAGATCAAGAGAGCGAGGAAGATAAGTGTATACATATCCCCCTAGGAGTATTTACAGTGTCCATGATTCCATACGCCACTAGAAAACTCCCATGTGCCATTGGAATGGGGTAAGCTCTTCTGTGAGGGGCACTGCACAGGAACCCGAGAGCTTTCCACATGCTCGAAGACGAAGATCTACTGATCGCATGTTTCAGAACGCCATCACCAGCAGCATCAGATGATATTTTTTCGGAGGGAAAGCGATGAGAGAGCTAGAGGAGCGCTTGTGTTTCGATGCGTACGTTTTGAATTTGGTAGATGTGTGTCGGACCCCACCTATGGAATCAGGGGATTAAATCTCTTTCTGCATTGGAAAGCGTCAAGTGCTGTTTGAAAGATGAAGTTTACTATCGTCGTCACGTTCGCATGACGGCGGACAGGTGCGGCGTCCTGTTTCCTATCCACGGATCACCTCGCAACAGCTAAAGCCGAGACTGATTTCCCGTCTTGTGCGAGTTTCCAACCGGAACAAATCTGAACTCCTCGACAATGGCTCCCATGATGGGCTTACTCGAGGCAACGCTTTCACTTCATTCTGACAGAGAAAGCCGCTCCGAATTCGATTGAATTTGAGGAACATTGAACGGAATAACTCCGTCTCATCCCTGTGAGCGAGATTTCCAGAGCCCGTCATGCGATCGAGGAATGGTATTAGACGATTCCGGTCGAGCTCAAAACTCGAGAGCTCGGCACGAAGGAAGGAGTCGAGCAATTCTGAACGGCCAGCCAGCTCTTGAATTTGTTAAAAGCGATCGGCGGGAAAATTTCTAAAAATCCCTCCTTCAGTCGATGGCTGAACTTTGACCGCTCTTCAGAAGCCGAGAGTACACCGGAACAATGATTATGAGTTATGAGAAACGATCACAGAGCTGTGTCGCTCACCACCCCAAAGTGTCAGTCTCTTCGATTCGGGGTATACGCGACCCACGTCCGCTGCTGCTGAAAGTTACATCGGTGCCATTGAACGAGCTACCAGCTGTAAGATAGCTCGTCTGAGCGTCCACCAGCGACACTCGCGACAGCTCCTAACGTAATGCCGCTCACGAACGGCACCACTTGCTCGGCAAGCGACGATCCCACGTCGAGCCAACGATGGTGAGATGAAAAAAAACTTGAACGACTGGCGAACACTCGCCGGCTATCCAGCGCACCTTCGGACCCATCGATGAGGCAGCGCGCGTGGGGAACGTCAAGCGACCGAAGCGAATGTCAGTAGTTCTGCTCGTTGCCAGATAGCGCTCGGATCCGACTAGGAGAAAGCTCGAGAAGCATCTGAGCACACAGACAGGAGCGGCGGTTCCCCGACTAGCGGCCCGTCGTCGAACAATCTGGCAACGACGACGTCGATGCGGCGGCCTCGCAGGGGAAACGGTGGCAGCAGCGGCTTTGCAACGCCACGAGTACCATCACTGGAGCAGCGGCGTCTGTTGGCCACAAGCGTCATTGCTGTCGTCGGGTCCTGTTTCGCTTCCGCGTTGCCCATGGATGGAGGAGGGCAAGCACACAGACACACACACACGCATGCGGTTGAACGAATGGATAAGTGGACGGACAGACGGAGCGTCAGACTTGCCGAAGGAGTGAGTGAGCGAGCGAGTGAGTGAGTGAGTGAGCAACCGATAGATAGACCGACTGACTGACTAGCGGCTTGGTAGGTCGATTGGTCGGTTGCTCGTTCGTTCGGTGGTCTGTCTGCTCGCCCGCCCGCCTGCCTGCTCGGCTGGATGGCTGAAGTGAAGCAAGTTAGTGAGCAGTGAGTGAGTGAGTGTGCGTGCGAGCAAGCGAACGAGCCAGCCAGCCTGCCTGCCTGGCGGCTACCAAGCAAGAGGGATGGATGCTCGGCCCGCTCCGTCTACCGTCGTTGCCACTCTGCAGCCGCCAGCATATGGTTGAAGCTGGCTTATCGCACAACCGAGTACAGTCGCAGATACGTACTTCGGCCTTCCACCTCTTCTCCGTTCGGGCCTTCCTTACACCGGTTTCTCAGCTGCCGCTCGATCTGACGTGTAGTGTCCAGTTCCTACTGATCAAGTGACAAGGCCCCAGATCGACGGTGGGCCAGTTTGCACGTCGCTCGGATAACAGTACTGTCGATCCGAACCGTATTTCGGAACGAGGTTCTAAAGTCGGCGGAAGATGTTCTCCGACACCGCTGGTCGGCAGTGTTGGTAAGTTCCTCGCTCTGACAAGCCCCTGAGCGAAATCTTGACAGTATTCTGGAGTGTTGTCAGAGTTTTCGGAAACCCCCGACATCGAAGTTGTCAAAGTCTTCAAAAGCCGATCTCGCTCGTGTGCGGACCACCTGTGATTTCTCGAAACGCTCTCACGAAGCGTGTTGCGAACTCCTGCGTGGAAAAAACGAGGATTTCGCGACGGTCGGGGTCGGAAGGTGGACAAAATAGTCTGGAAATCCTAGCGAGAAAAAGTTCGAAAGCCCAAGCGGAACGAGCCAATGTTGTTCAACGACAGTCTACCGCTATTGCAGACATAGCCCGGCTGCGCCATCTTTTCACCTCGGTCGACGGTGACAACGAATTCGACACTTTGTTCGTGGGTCGGAGTCGCACGATGGCCAAAGTTCGCCACATGGTAAGTACCCATCTAGGACGGTAGAGTTTTGATGTCACCGGCTCGAACGCTCCTCTGCTCCCTTTTCGGGCAGGAAGGCCTTCGTTGTCGGAGCGGATTTGCGTGTGTTTGAGTGTTGTGGAAGAGTGCTCTCTCCGAGAGGATAAGTTAGATAACTCTATGGGTCGCGGGCAGACAAACCGCACGACCTCTCGCAGTGAACAATAATAATTGTCGTTTCTGCGGGGTGACAATTGGAGCCAAGCATCGTCGGTATCTTGTCGACGTTGAGATTGCATCTCTTTTAGCGCGACGCTCTCGCTGCGTGTCACCTCTTTGGTCACAAAGCTGAGCATCTGAGAGCTCCCCGATGGTGGGCAAAGCTCGTCGAATCACGGAGGAGTCCTTTCGATTCGTGTCCTTTGAGAGTCATCTTGCCGGAACGAACCGCGAATGACCAATTGAGGAGACCGATTCTCCGGAGGCGCCGGGAGCTCCATTTTCTGGATGGAGTTCAAGATCTCCTTTATGCTCCTTCGTGCTCCTGGCCCTACCGCGAGAGCCTCCGTGAGAGTCTCCCTACGAAGTCCTGAAAGAAGTGCGTACTAATCTCGGAGCTATCGGATGCGAGTTTTGGGCAACGAGGCCTCGCGCACGAGACAAAATAATATTTTGAACTTGAAATGCCAGTCGAGCGACCCATGAGGCTTCCGAATCATGTCGACATTCAGGATCAGCTCCACCATCCCGAGATGGCTAGAGGTCGAGCGCACCCCGTGATTCACCGGAAGACCTTTCCGAACTGGATAAGGGTCGAGAGAGCGACGCTGGAGCTGTAAGGAAAGGCAGGCTGCGGCTCCTCGTTGGTAGAGAAGAAAAAATGGGGAAACAGTGGTCTCATATCTCCTGCACGCTTGCGACAATCGGAAGAACTCCTGCAAGGAGTCCTGAAATCTTGGCGGTTCTGGAATCTCAGAACTCTCTGACATGAGGATTTCAAGCGAATCACCCGACTTTAACGGATTCGTCGAAAAATCTCCTGGCATAGCGATTCGACGAATCTAGAGAATTATTGGGGTCACGAATAGACGGGACGGTTCCGTACGTTGATATCAAAATTTTCCACTTGAGCTCCTGGAATGGAATCCGTGCGCAATAGACATCATTGGGAATCGAGTTCCCGCTCCTCCCGGAACTCGCTCTATAGACGCTCGTGTATTTATCCACCGATCGACCGATGAAGCTCGCGGAACTCGTCACGTGCCGCGTCAAGGAGACTCATTCCCAGTTCCACGGATTTGAGCGGCACCAATAACATCTGCGCATTTGTAAACAGGTTTCGTTTCGCCCCGGGCATCAAGACGAATTTCAGGGCACGAGCAGCGTAAGGGAATGTTTATGTCGTCTTGAGATTTGAGTGCTGTCTCAAGCTGACTGTCTAGCAGCAGCTGGAGCCGTAGTGGCGGCGGTGACGACGATTCTTAATACATAGATAGGCAGAGCCGGACGGAAAACCAGCAACGGACGGACGAACAGATGGGCGGGCTTCCATCGTAGAACGCTCCTAGCTTTTACCTCGGCAAGACGATGAGCAAGGCTGGCCTGAAAGCATTCGCTCTGGAAACTTAGAATGCAACAAGACCACGCGGCGACAGCTGAAGCAGCGGGGCCGAATCGACGGCAGCAAGCGCAAGTCTCCGCGGGACATCCTTCTCCTCCTCAGCAGCGAGAATCCAACGATACACCAAGTAGTCCGCCCGCTTGACTGACTGACTGCTCGCTCGCCCGTTCGTTTGCTCCACAGCAAGCAATATGCCGCCTCTTGGTTCATTTGTCTGCCCTCATGTGAGTTGGTCGTCGCTCCCTTGCTCGGTTCCGTTGAACGAACGGAATCTTTGCTCGTTTCCGGAAGTCATTGACAGGCGACGGCTTGCACCGGCTTACCGACGGAGCGGCGGGGCGAACTTGAATGCAACAGCAGAAAGCCCTCTGAAGCTCCGCCAGACGGTGGATGGAACTAGACGTGATGAATAAATTCCAAGCTGAGGAGATGGACTATTCCAACGGCGACACCACCGTCTCACGGATTGAACGGGATTTTTTTTGGAAACTCGAGTCTCATGCATGCGATTATCGACTCCATCGTCCACCTTGGAAAATTGGATAATTCTCGGCGGATTTGAATTTTGACGCAGGCCCGAGTCCGGCCCAGAGCTATTCCTGTACAAATTGCGCATGCGGTGTCGCTCAGCGCTATTATTCACGAGCCGGGGCTCGCGGATCTATGTTCCGGGTTGTGAGCCTCGACTTCGACTACCCGAGCTCGGATCAATTATTCGCTCGAATGGCGGCTGCGCTCGAATTTTCCGCTGGGCCAACGGATAGTAGCGAGATGCGCCACGGGTTCTCCTTCACGCGTTATTCTGTCTCTCTGTGCAAAGCAGCGCTGGACGAGCGAATTCTCTCCTCTCCTCCATTTTTCTCGGTTTGGTCTCGAAATGTGAGAGTATGTCACCATTAGACACCACGCTCCGCCGTGGGTCCAGACATCCGTGCGATACGTCCACCATCCTCCGGTGAGGAGACGGTTTCCACCTGACACATATTCCTGTGTCCCGATCCCTGGGTTCAGAACTCCCATGGCTCAGTCGTGTGCGGCTCCCTTAATTCATTCCAATTCGAATGTTTCAGCCAGCGGCTTTCGCCAACCAGGCGAACGGTGGATCACCGAGCACAACGTCCGCATCCGCGTCAGGATCCTCAGCGACGGCACAACAGAAGCCCTCACCTCATCAAGGCCAGTTTTTTCGAATCCCCAAGGTCTCTCCACCGAGCTCAAACGCACAGACAGGTGTGGGTGCCACGACACAGCCGTCGTTCGAAGACATTCTCGGCAGCGGGGATAACGTGATGAGATCCCCCAAGTCGAATAAGCTCTCGAAGCATCCCGATAGCAATCGGTCACCGAAAAAGGACGATGGAGGCAAGACCCGCAACCACCAAGAGTCAGGCAGCAAGGAGAAAAATCAAGAATCAGGAGTCACAATAACGAAACTAAGTGTCAGCAGCGGCGGCGGAGGCGACAAGGATAACCGACCGGCTGCCCGAGCTGATGAACGACGCGAAAAGGAATCCTCTCACAACCACTACCAGCATCGTGAGAAGCAGCCAGGTGAAAAAAGCCGCGATCATCATAACGACAAATCGTCAACACACTCGAGCCGCATGGATCGAGACAAAAAAGAGTACCTGAGCAAAGAGAAAGAAAACCACAGGAGTCATCATGCCGCAGAGAGAGACAGAAGCCGGGACGAGAGAGACGAGCGTAGAGATCGTGGCGTCAACGATCGCCAGCATCGCGAGGACCGTCGGAAGCCTCTGGATGCTACTCCGAAAAAAGCCTCCGACTCCGACATCCAGCAGAACGATGGCGAAGCGTGCCACGAGCGGCGGAAATCATTGGATTCGTGTAAGCCGATCAAAGATAGAACGAAATCCAAGGACGGCGAAAGCAAGATACGCCCGAAAGAGAGCTCAACGTTGACGTCGGGTATTCCGTCGTCGTCGGTAGCAGCGGCGGCGGCACCGTCCTCGGCGAAAAACACGAAACAGCCCCGACTTGAAACGAGCACCAAAACCGAATCGTCTTCCCTCGTGGCGCCGTTGATTCCGGGTCTCACGATAACTCCGGTAGCGAAGACGCCAGCTGCTGCTCCAGCCGCGAAACATTCGCCGGATCTACAGAAGCTGCTCAGTAATTTGGGGACAAACATCATTCCCATTTCCGAAGAGTCGAAACCCAATGCGGCGGGTCTTGTCATTCAACCGGTGGCATCGAATCCACCTGTGGCTCCTCTGGCTCCTACCACCGCTCTGTCGAATGTCAAGTCCTCGCCGAGAGCAGCCGCCACAGCTCCAACGAGTCCGGCATCGGCTGCCTTCGATAGCTCTCTGTTCTTCAAGCTCCCGGCTCCCGTGGAGATCAATAACGCGCAGTTGAAGCAACCGAATGGCGCTGGGTTCTTCAAACTTCCACCGGGAACGACGAAGTACATCGAGGAGAACAAACAGAGAAAAATGCAGCCCGCGGCCGCACCTGCCCCGCAACCGCTCAAACCACCCGCCACCGTCGACGCAGCAGCTCTCGTGATGGCGACCGCCCTGCAAAACGCTGTCCTGCAAAAAATGAAAGAGCCCCTGAACGGACTCACGCTAAATGATCTCATCAAAAGTGGACTCGTGTCACAAACGACAGCCGGCGAGAAGCAGGCTGAGGCTCTGAAAAAAACCGAAGACGCGAAGCAGCGTGAAAAACTCAAACGAAAAATCGAAGCCGCGTCCGCCGTGCAAACCCTCCCGGTGGAACAAGCGAAACGGAAGTGCCCGCAGCCGGTGTCCAATCCAACACCTGATTGGACTCCGCTTGATTTGATGGTTCTGACCGAACGTATGAAAAGATCCATCCCCACGCAGGATAACGTCCAGTTCGCCGTGACGGAATCTCGCATGGATTGGTCCCAAGTGGCTTTCAGCAAATACTCATCGTCTGAGTGCAGATCCAAATGGACCGAGGTGAGAATACCCGCCGAGCGCTATTGCGGAACTATAGCGTTGGGGCGTTTTCTTCCTTCGAAGTGTCAGGATCTTGATCAAAACGCGACCGATGGCCCTTGAATATAGTTGTGAACGAGTATTTGCATAGTTCCAGTCTAGAATCTTATTTGCGTCTTCTTTCCTCCCTCCGACTCGGAATTTCAGCTGAGCCAAAAAGTCCGACAGTTCCGTACACTGAGCGAGCTTCTATCCGACACTCAGGACCTGATTAAAACGTCGACGCCGGGCACGATATCGGCGTCGGCGACGATCCTTTCTCAAGCGACGGCGCCGAATGTTAGGGAGCCTAAGAAACTGAAACATCCGGATCTCCCGAAGAAACCATTGACGCCATACATGAGGTACTTTTCAGTCTTTCGCCTCCCTTCCCTTTCTAGTTTCGCAGGGGCAGAAAATCGAGATATAGGGTCGAACGGAATAGATATAAACTACCGAATGAGCTCGGAATCCGTAGCGGGAGACATTGTCGTATTCAGCTGACTTGGGGGCAGCTGTGACCATGGGGAATGTTGGACGCTGGCTTCTCGAGGCTTCTGGGTCGCTCATTTGTTTTTCTTTTCGCCTAACGGTGGTCATCGGGACGGAGTGAGTCGCTAAGCGGGCGGCCCGATTGACTCGCATGCACGCTCCCCTTCCTCAGCGCTCTCGAATGCGAACCGCGTAATGGCCTTACTGACTCTCTCGCCAAGGCTCGAATCACTCCGAATTTTGCGCGCTCTGAAGATCGTTATCGCAGTGCGCAATCATTGGCGGAAGTCTTGAGTTCCGTTCGATTTGGTAAATTTGTATCCCAATCTGAGCATTATTTCAAGTCTCTCCGAATCGCCTCAGGTACCTCGTGGACAAGTTGAAAATCGTCAAGGAACGCTATCCGGAACTCAGTCATGGAGAAGCTTCGAAACAAATCACCGAGAAATGGCATAGCCTCAGCGAAGAGAAACGACAGAAGTTGAAAGATGTCTTCGACTCTGAGATGGTAGAGTATCAGAGAAAACTGGAACAATTCCACAGGGACCATCCGGAAGCGAAGTCCCATAAAGCGCCGGCTATCGTTCCGATAGCTGTGCCGAAAGAGCCGGAAAACCTGAAAAGCTCAGAAAGCTCGAAAAACCTCCCTCCGATGGACCTCTCGGCCCTCCCGAGTCGGATAAAAGAGTACGTCGAGTTGTCTCAGGACAAAATGGCTCAGACTGTGAACCCACCTTCGGAGAAGCCACCAAACAACGGATACGCCCTTTTCGCGAAGATTTGCCAGATCGATCTCGAGCCGGCTGCTCTAAGCTTCAAGGAGAGCATGTCCGAAATGGTGAAGCGATGGCAAGTCCTCACCGAAGATCACAGGAAACTTCTGAACGAGTCGGCGAAAACCATCAAGAATACCTACGACAATAAATTCGGTCGATTGAACCTGAGCAAAGTCAACGTGGACAAGAACGGCAACGTCGTTGTCAGTGCAATGCCTGTGGAAAACAAAAAACCCAAGTAGGTCTCTCTCGCTGACTCGAACTTTCGGAGAATACTATGTTGAATTTGTGAGATCAGACGTAACTGCTGGTTCCAGCGCTCGGTCCTCGCACTCTCACCCGATCGTGAGGTGCTCTATCGTTCGGGAGTTCATCCTGAGTCCTGAGCTTTCCCTTTTCACAGGAAAAGTCTGCAGACGATACCGATACCCATGGAAAAGTTGAACTCTCCGGAGAGCAGAGACAGCGCTTCGAATGAAATCACACCTATCGAGCTGTATAAAAAGGAGAAGTTCGCCCGTCTCAAAGAAGACTACCCGGACAAACCAGACCATGAGGTTAGATATTTGAGGTTGCTCCTTCTTTAATTGGAACCAACCTGATTCTCTGCTTCATCTTCGCCTCTCAGTGAGATGCCTCAGGAACATTCCCTCGCTCCTCTCATTCCTGGTTCCGGCCCGCCCCGGAGAATGAGATTGAGGGTGTCCTAGACTCCCGGAGTTCCGGTTCCGATGGATGTCTGGAGGGAAAACGCAGAGGGCTTCTCCCTCGCGCGGACCTTCCAAGAACCTTTCAAGCAATTTAAATTCCGAGAACGGCCTCATCCGGACTCCGGATACCGAAAAAAAGAGAATTCCCGTCAGCTGGAACCATGGATTGGATTCGTGGGATGTGTGTGTGTGATCTTCCGCGTGTATAAATGCTCCGCTATCGACGGATCAGCTCATTCCTGTGGCTCCCTCAGATGTATTACGTCATTACTGTATACATTGCTCGGTGAAATCCGCTGAGATCAGATAGACGCCGACCTTGAGGGAGTTTATGACTTTTATTCAGATTCTTCGAGTCCTGTCGAAAACCTACATGGAGCTCCCTCAGGAAGATCGTCTGGTTTGGAGGGAGAAAGCAAAGATGCTGAACGAGGAGCAACGCCAGAAAGAGAACCCGAAACCGAAGGACAAAGATCGGATCAAGAGGGTCCCGCGATTGCCAAAGAGGAAACCTCTACCCGGAGAACCGAAACGTCCATTGATGTAAGTTGAGAAATCAGTGTTTTATATTCGCCCGCAGCTCGTGAGAATCCTTCGCGTCGATCGATATCAACATGCGGTTTCGATCCCGTTGCAGGAGCGGATACTCGGTGTTCACGAACGAGGTGATGTCGAAACTCCGAGAGAACAATCAACCGAAAGTTCTCATCAGTGTTGTTGCCAAACAGTGGACAGCCCTGCCGTCCGAGAAGAAGTCCGAGTACAAGGCCAAAGCTGCGGAACTGGATCGAAAATACAAGGAAGAGGTTAACAACTTCCTAAAAACCCTGAATCCAGAGCAGATAGCTGAGTACAAAGCTCATCTGGAAGCGACGAGCAAACGACGCGGTCGTCGCGAGGAGCGGCCCGAGAAACGAGGTCTGTCCGAGGATAGCGAGGACATCGAGGACGAGGTGGTGCTGAACAAAGACGCGGACGAGGAGTCGCTTTCAGAATCCGATATGGAGTTGCGGCATTCGAGCGCGGCCGATTGCACGTCCTCTGAGGACGAAGCCCCACCCCCGCTGAACGATCAATCGTACGACTCGACGAAAAAACCGGCAACGGATGAATCCTCGGACGAGGAGGAACCCGCTCCGGTTCAGGTTTCTTCGAAAGCGGCGCTCCCCTCGATGCCTTGTCTGACGGATGCCTCATTCGCTGAGACCAGCGCCGGGGATCAGGACCCTCCCGAATCGGCGAACGTCGTGGAACCCAGCGTTGCCGGCGGCCAAACTAATCAAGAGAGTTCCTCTGAAAATAGCAGCAGCGACAGTAGCGACTCAGATGACTCCGACGATTCTAGCGATGACAGTTCGGATGAGTCCGATTCGGACTGATAGATTCACATGCGATGTGTAACCACGACGGATCTGCTTTAATGCAAAGCATTCGTTTGCGCTCCGCGGAAGCGGAGTGGGCTGAACGGGAGAACAACACGGTTTCAGGACGTCCAGAACGGCCTTAGCAAGAGTGTTGCTAGTCCGAGAATTATCAAGCGGAGGAATACGAAACCTCAACTCTTGTTCACGTTTGTATGGCTCGCACAATTCATCCACTATCGGTGTGGACACAAAGATGTGTCAGACATCGGCTTCCCCGTTTTACTTTTCCTCAGGCCGGGGAGCGTCAGTGAGCCTCTCAAGGATTTTTCTTGTTCCAGATCCCCACGCGTAGATAAGATATGGACTGCGTTTGTGATTGCTTCTTTGAGCGCTGTACGATTGGTTTGAGGAGACCCGATTGTTGTTGGCCCGTTGTCTGTTACAAGAGCTGAGCGAGAGTGTGAGATCTTGTAGCTTTTTAGGGAGTCAATTTCTACTGCTTGTTGAACTTAATTGGACAGAGAGATATATACCTAGTTTCCTTCCTTAATGGGGGGGGGGAAGTGCTCGTCCGGAGAAGGAGAGCTTGTGTTGCCAGTTCGCATCTTCCGTGACACTTGATCCTCTGAGCGAGACGTGGAGAGCGGCGAACGAGCGACAGCCGCCGATAACTCCCGCGATGGCGTAGCAGTAATGATAATAATAATAGTTAGTGACGATTATGTTGTTCAATACCCGGAGATATTTTTATATGAAAAACGAAAAGTGGCAGTTTTGTTGACTTTTACATCCTGTTAGTCGCGAGTCTTCTTTCCTCGACCTCCAGACTTCACGTTCGCCCTGAAGGAAAATTTCTGTACATTATATAATACCTCAAACGGTGTTCTACTGTCCAGAGTTCCCAAATATCTTCATCGGTCAGTGAGCATTTGAATCGGTCGATCGCGCGGCAAGGCCCGTTATATGTAGCGGGAGGCAACGAAAGGCATATCCGATTCCGGCGTTCGAGACAAGTACCGTGATATTTAGTGTTCGGCACTAATGGTTCGCGGTGAATAATTCAGTGAGCTGCACTCGATTACGTCACCTCAGAAGCCGTGGCCCCTCGGAGAGCGGGTCGTGATCGAATCGGGTCGAGACGATCCTGGTACCTCCGAAGTCCAAAATCCAAATTCGATCGCCGATTCACCACCAACCGCGATCTAACTTTCTCGCGGCCGACAATCTAAAATGAATCTTATGATCTGATCCTCAAGCCAAAAGCTCGAATTTTCGTGATGGGGATTACGAGTTTCTACTGGGATAACGAGCAGTCGTCGATTCGTCGTGCTGTACGTTGGGGTGACTACGAACTCTCGGATGAATCGAATTAGCAGCTTCGACAATGAATTAAGTTCTTGAGGTTGGAGCGAGAGAAATCCGAGGCAGTTCCTAACGCGATTGCCCGGGCGCGGCTCAAACCAAGCTGAGCTCCCTCGACCTGCATTGGAGGACTTATCGTACTAAATTCTACGAGCACTGAGATCCCAGGGTTCAGGAATCCAGGGTTCTGGATTTATGTCGGTTCCTTGTACGAAATCAAGGATTCTTTATTCATGTCGGTAGAAAAATCAAGGGAACTCAAGTCAGATCGGTGCTTCCCCTGATTCCTTGTTGATCTTCCGGTCCCACATTCGATCCGCGTAATCCGCACGATGATTCCCCCGGAGCGAGACGTGGTCTCTTCTCCGCAAGAAAGAGACTCTTTCACTGCTCCCGACCAATCAAGGTTTTCGTGAGAGCCATGCCGCGCGTTACCCCTTGGAACCGACTCTGCTGTCCTTCTCGCATAAGAGCCTCCCGTGTGCAAACGGGAGGAGACGGACATCGTCGGAGCGAGAGCCAGTAAAGCGAAGCTTGCCTCGCGAGCAAGTACGTTCAGACACCAGTAGCGAGCAGATCCGATGAGATATCACGAGGAATGTGCCCAGCTTGCCACCTGCAAACAAACCTCATCCGCGCTGCGAGCAGCGTCCTTCATGCAAATACTTCATCTCTGCATAAGCAGAACTCGGGTCTCGAGTTTCGAGTCGGGGCTGGGTTTCAAAATATTCGCTGCTGTGAGATTTTCTCAACGCATCTGCCTGCTATTTGCCTTCCCGTCGAGTCGGCATAAGGACTCGAGTTCAAGCATCCGCCCCGCTCCCATCGATCGCGACGTTTACACGCGTGGACTCTCTTATGGTGTCCATTCATGTGCTCTTCGACCAGCTCGTTGTGTACCTGACCCTCGTTGCAAGCTGCAGCGTGTTAACTTCGAACTTCTCCGGTCGATGAGTCTCGGTGTCTCGTATCGGCAGCGACAATATTTGCTCTATAGGTCCACGCCAGAGGCCGCAGAAGTCCAAGGATCATCTGTAATGACTTCTTCCGGTCGGATAAGCTCCGCTCAGGCCTTTTTTCTCTTTCGTTTCCTCCGGGAATTAAATCTCGTCCCCCCGGGGAACACAATGTCACGACTCTGACATCGGATTTAATGGACTCTCTATACCGAAGAATCTACTGACAGCGCATCATTAGGATGAGGAACTTGTTGACGCAGAGTTAGTCATTCGGAGTTGATGCGTTTACGCGATTTTGAGCGGCGAAAGCCCAGCAATGACGACGGACATAGCGACTACAGTAGCGACGTTTTGCGATGTCAGCGCAAGCATCGCCGCGCCGCCTAACAGATCTGGGCAACAAAAAACGCATGTCCCTTGATGTCACCCAAACGCCGCCTCGACGCATGAGGATGAGAGGACGCAGCGTCCCAGCCCAGCCGAGCTCTCAATCATTTCCGAGTGTAACGTTGTAAGGATGCAGAGGGAAAGAAGCCTCCGGATGCAATTAGCGTTTTCCGTCCGTTTTCAAAGACGCAACCATCGAGAACCGAATTGCCGATTTCTATGAAGTTGAACCCAAAGACGTCTCATTAGCATCTGAGAACGGAAAATCCCGGCTGGAGGAATACTTCAGGGAAGAGAGTTTGGAGCTCCGCTCAGCTCGTAGTACCCGGGGAGCACTCATCGATTTCGAAGATGATGAATCAGCCGGACCTGTCGACCGAAGATACCTCGCTCACTAACATTCGGGAAGGAAACTGGATCTCACATCACTATGGATTCCAGACGGACAGCCTCGTTTCGGCAATGGAGCGGTCACGAATAATGTTTAAGCAAGCGGTCACGGGTCGGATTCCAAATTATGGGAGTCATTCCAGACACTCGCGTACTTCAACGAGCCAACGACCGACTCGTTGATCTCTATGGTGATGAGGAAGGAACGAGGTACTCGTCGATCATATCTAGGTTCTCAAGAATCACACTCCAAACATCCATCCCTTCATTAGGTGCCGTGAAACTATTAACGCTGTGAAAAAATCTCGTCGTGTAACTAAATCCAGCGTCAAGCACCACCTGTGTCAATGACATCACGGAGCTTTCGAGAGTCGCTCGAACGGATCTGCTGAAACGACCAGGGAAAACCGTAATCCCTTCGGGATTAGATCAAGCTTTGAGCGGTTAGATCCAATTCCCGTCGGGAACTCTCGGCTCCGTCAGAGGAATATTCAGCGAGATCATCCGCGTTTTTGTCTCGAGCGAGACCTATGCTGCGCAAACATCCGACCCGCAAGACGGATATAATATATGCAGGTCTCCATCGGAATTCTCTGCGATGATTATAGAGCGCGCTTCGGATAACATACAAGAAGCCTTCCATCGATCTTGTTCAAGCTGCTCTTGCTTCCTCCGCCTCAGAACGGTATCTCACATCAGAGAAATTTTTCGTCTCTCAGACTCGATAGCTACGTCGATTCTCCGTATCCGCGGAGGGTGATCTCGACTTGTCAACTCGTCACTCTATTTCAACCTTGGCGCTTCGGGGTCCTCAATGGAATGAGACTCTCCCACGGACTCCATTTGTAGTTTGTTTCCGAGAGGGGATGCTAGGTGAGACGCCGAATACGTCAAGCCTCGACTTCGTCGATCTCTGGCTAGGTTCTTGTCATTCTCGAATGGTAGAGCAGACGATCACATTCCACGTATCGCGTCTAGGGCAGGTAAGATGAAACGACGGGGGAGAACGAATCGTCGAGCGAATCAGTCGGGGAGTGGCGACCGCTACGTGTGAACTAATCGAATTAAAGCCCACTTCCCTCGGACACTAAATAGCTTAAAAGTTCCGCAACGCCCAGGGTTCCTCGTGCGAACACAGCAACGGCAGTCTGTTAAAGTACGAACGGTGGCAGAAGCTCTGTGAGACCCTGAGCACAATGGGAGCTCCGGGGGGTCGCGGATCCCGGCTGCGCAAGTGTGCGAAAGCGAAGTCTTCGCTCCTACGCACAGGTTGCTTCTAGACTGGAAAATGTGATTGTTCTCCCAGGCTCCGCGGCATCGTGTGCGGAGGATGAGAGTCGAAATAGGCGCCATCCTTGCTTCCCGTAATTGTCACCGCCGCAAACCGTGAGCCGGGTGCATTCGCCTTCGGAGAGGACGAACTCCCATTGAAAAACTCGAAACCGGTCATAGCTCCGTGGCGTTCTCGATGAACTTGAGGCGCCGCTCGCTCGGAAGTGAACGAGTTTTTTCCCTGCCGTCCACGACCTCTAATGACGAGCGGCTGCTATTCACCGCGCTAATTTGGAACCCGCGCACTCTCAGCTCCGGAGTTCGCACAGAGACATATTTACGCGAGTTGCATCTCCGCGGTAGAGGTATCGGAGTCTTCCGCAAACAAAGGCGGGGAGCTTCATTGATCGACGGCGATTGTGCCTGCTCGTAGTAGTCAACTCTCCAATGAGGTAACGGGAAAATTTAATCATGTCCAGGACGATGGTGCGGTAGCGGCTTGGGTACTCAGATCTCCACGCTTCGGCGCTTCTTTTCCGATAGATCCTCGAGACCATCGTCCAATATCGATTTGGACTCCGGTAGCCACCACCGAGCCACATTTTTTATTCCTCGACACCTTTCACGGGACAGTGCTGCTGCTGATGGCAACAAAGCACCTTCGATCATTCGAGACTTTCTCGAAGCTATGCAAGCCGCTTTTTTTGAAGCAGATTCCAAGCAACGCTCCGAGCGACCGCGTGGCGATTGACCATATCCAACGATTCGGCATGAGATATTGTGCGGTCAAGGTCGAGGTGGACTCGCGATCGACGTTACTCTTTGAGACACACGAGGGGCTGTCGGTAGGTCGGGCATCGAATGAGTTTTAGGTTCGAGCTTGACCGCGGTATCATAGCCGGCGAGCAAGCTACATATGTTAATCGATTGACTTCGACTCTCTCATGAATGAAATGCGTGGCGCCCGCGTCGCATCGCCGGGCCGGGGAATCGATCCCCTTCCGGATTCATAAGGTATACGCGACTTAGGAATCTTCTTCTGTGAATCGGTGGAGTCGTCGATAGAGACTTGCAGGGAGAGCATTCCGAAATTATCCAATTCGAGAAGCGTGATGAAACGCGGTCAAGAATCTCATCTTCCTCATCATTCCGTATACCGTATCGCGGCCGAGCGCGAATGTGAACGCTCTTCTCGGATTGAGTTTTCCCCCGAGAAGAAGTTCAACGAGCGGGTCGGTCAGATCATCCGCTTGATCGTCTCGATTCCAGTCTACGAGCACTACGTCAATTCGTCGAACCGAAATTTCTTTCCTGAGTTCTCGCTTGCCCTAAGAACTGATCCTCCCCCCAACGGCACCAGAAAAAATCAAAGTCGACTCGAGAGCGCCTCCCTACCGAATTCCGTACATGATCCACATGTCCTCGCGAACCCGATGGTCGTTCAATCGTTTTTCCTCTTTTCCCGCGCACCGCGATGAGAGCCGAGTGCTCCAAGCCGCTTGTCTTGAAAGCACTATGAGCCAGATTAGAATAAGGAGAGGACGGCGCTCGCCGCTCAAGAGATTGTTAGAAGAAGACCGCGGATAGGGGGACGTCGAAAAAAAACTGTCAAGCTCGACAAACGATGATATCTTGATCCGTCCTCTTGAAACGCAAGATGACTCGGGCTGTCCGCAGCGTAGGTTTCGACGACTGCGGCCGCGCACCATGATGATTTGACGTGGCAGCACGACGACGAGTCAGCCTGAAAAAAAAAGGCTCGGAGACCTGCCTCATCAGCGCCACTGTCAAGCTGTTGCCAGCCGTTGGCGCATTAATGCCTCCAAATCACAGGTTGCGAAACGTCCCGCCTGCGTTGTTCCGACAGATGTCGTTGGAGTCGCTCAGTCCTCGGATTGTAGGAGCATCAATTCGATACTCGAATACCATGATCCTAGCCTTTCTAATAAGTCGGCGAAAAGAGGAGTACGCATTTTGTAATTCCTATGCTGTGAATCGTAAATAAACTTTTATTTCCTTTCATAATGGTTTTTTAGCCTCGCTTCCTCTCTTTCGTTCACTGTACATACCAGACTGATACATTAGGGGTGGGGTCAGTGGTTCACCACCGCCCCCATTTCCAGGGATACTCAACCAGCTGACATAAGGCTCTCTAAGCGCGAATGCAATACAAATAATAATTATAATATCAATAATTATCATCGATAACGTCATCGGCGACTTATTTCTCCTCTTACTCTTATTAAACAAAACTCAAATCACAGGTAAGCGTTTCCGTCAACCACCCGCTTGCTGGGGTCAGCACCTCCGACTGCAGCGTCTGCTGACTGACTCTCTCTGACTCGCTTGCTCACTTACTGACTGACTGACTGCTGAGTGAATGAATGAATGATAGACAGAGCATCTCCGTAACGAGTTGGATCTTCAGATGATATTTTTTTTCTTTCCATGCGCTATGGCGGAATGGCTTCTGGAAAGCCCGACAGCTCGCCGTGATGCGGCCGGTCTCTACCATTTCAAAAGTTAAATATCGGGTCATCACGATTCCGTATTGAACGTCTATCTCAGTAACTCGATGCCCCTTGGCTGCAGCTGATATATTGATGATGGTTGCTTGAGTTGGGTTTTGGTTTCAGCGAGGTCAAATTCTTGCCGGATCCGCCCACCTCCGAAAGAGGCTCTAGTTTCCACGTCAGGGCTCCTGTTTCCTGCCTATTCCTCTTTATTTCCGCGTCGTCGGCATGCCTTACTGACCGTAGAAGCCTCGATTTGGAATGGGAAACGGGCGAAAATTTGCCTGCGGCCGCGGTATTCCTCGAATTGAGCTGGTGTCGCTCTCGTCGACCATAACGCCGTTCGCTGACGACACGCTAACTAACAATGGTTGAATTTGTTGGGTGTGACTCTTGGTGATGAAGAAAGAAGTTGAAGAGCTAGGAATTTTCGTTTTCCCTGCATACTCGTTTGAGCACACAGGATGACCAGCTATCCTATGATTCGACGCCTTCGGCCCCTGCTCGCTCCGACCTTACCGCCGGCCGCCTCAACCGCCAACGACCTGACAGGGGCGCCGACGGACTCATCCCCCAATTGATCGATCGCCAAACCGTCCGACCCACCCTCCCAGTAGCTGATAAACGGGCGGGTGGGCACGCGGTCAGTCAGTCGATCGGTCGCCCGGTCGGTCGGTCGAACAGGAAGACGGGCATCGCACGCTTGAATATGTTGACTAATTACTCGTCAAACTTCGCGCCCCTGACAGGGCCGGCTTTTCTTTGCTCCTCTAATTCTTTGGCGACTTTCTCCTCGAGGGCCCTGATGTCCTTCATCGTCATTCCGTGCCAACGGTCGATCCAGCAGAACAATTGGCGATGGAATACGTGAAATATGCGCTTCTCGGTCTTCTGAATATTGCTCTCGACGAGCGTCTGGAGCCCGAACCATTTGAACTCACAGCGCACTAGTTTATAGGCTGTCATAATCGGTTTCGTGTTTTTCTGCCATTTACCGGGCTCGAGGGGACCGCGGCCCGTTTTCGTCGACTTGAACTTGGAAGGGTCCTCGGACTCCTTGTAGTCGCCCGATAGCGACGGACTGTCAGCAATGTCGATTCGGACGATCTCGCGCGACTTCACCTGTTCCGGAGTGAGTTCGTGCACGTTCTCCTGGTCGCCTTCGTCTTGGCAGTGCATGGTTTCGATGGAAATGAGAAAATTCTGCTTCATATAGTCCGGGTTGGTGAGAACCGTCTTGCAGTACGGATAGGCGTTCCACGCCTCTTCGTGGAGTTCGAGAGAGCCTTTCGGGGCGATTTTCCTAATGATCGCCGGGACCTTCGATTGCAAATGGTAAACTTTGTAGGTGTATTGTCCTTTAGTATATTTTCCTCCGAGCAGCGGAACGTTGTCGAAAGGCTCGTTGCGACGAACTTCCACGCCTTCCCCGCCGCCAGTTTCGTTCATCGATGCTTCGGCCACACTGAACAGTTGGCCAATTTGGTACTCTTCGACCGTGAGTGGAAGTGTCACCCGAAACTCTTTGATGAGCATATTGGACCGTTTTCGCTGTCTTCCTCCTAATCACACGAGATATTCCTGCGAATTTGCCGCGAGAGGCCCTCCGTATGCCGCTTTGAGCTCAGGTTCAAAGATGGGCGAATTCGTCGTCCTCTAGCCGTGGACGTTGTCCTATGGAGAGGTCTCACCACACTCACACCACCGAACACACTCAGAAAAGGACACACACCACACTATCGAGTTTCTCCTGCTATTCTAGACTAGCGAACTCGATTCTCCGATGGGATCTGGAAGGGAGCAGACGGCTCGCTTCGGCTCGATCCCGGTACGTGGAGACGAGTTTCAACGCTGGTCGTGTTGTGTTGCCGCAGACTGGACAAGTGACCAATTCTGCTCCGTGCTGCTGCAGCAGGCTGACACTTGGAACCTCTGACGAAATGTTATGACTCAACGGGCGTCTGCTACGCGGGCGAGCGTTGGAGGTGTCTGCTACGTTTATCATGGCGTTACCGTGCAGTAATGCAGTCGAGGCCGGGACGCGGTTTCTACGCCTATGAGCCGTCGTCCTCCGGTCACGATTCTCAATACTCGATATATCTTTCGGGAGGAGGTCTATCCTGGGGGGAATCCGCTATCCAGACGAGGGAAACGCTCCACCTTTCGAGCGCCCATTGCTTGATGCGGGGAGGGTGAGCGAACTGATGCTGTTGATCCTCCTGAGAAGCTCGGGTGAAATGGGGCGGTTCTCTCCATTCTTCTCGGGTTTCCCGATTTTCGGTTTTGGCTGGGAACAGGGGGAAGAGGGTCCATCTGGAAGAGGCTAGGTGTCCAAGCTGAGAGCAGAATGCTCGATTGTTCAGAGAGGCCGCAAGGTTCAATGTTCCCGACTGTGGAAAATGATGCCGTCCAAAGATTCTACGTGCCCGAACCGATCTCATTCGGATCGTCCCGTCGACCGGACAAGCTTGCATGTACCGCGTAGCGGGCAGATCTCGGCTCTCGAATTCGGATTGCTCTGTCTGCTTCGAAAGCTAGGAGTCGCATTCCCATTGTGCAGAGGATGTTTCCTGTGCACACAGGGATTGTTCAGATGAATTGGAGTGCGTTGAGAGATTCTCTCGCCCGCTGACGACCGCTAGAGGAGCTTCGAATATTCTGAACCTGGAACGAATATTGTAATAGATATTCGTTTCTACAAGAGAATCTCCGTGCATCTGTCGAGCACAGTTCAGCGAGTCTTGCTCAAGCTAGGGAAGAGTCGCCATCGCCGTGTACTTGCTCCATTTTAATTATGACGTTACCGCTGATCAGAGGGGCACCGAAGAAATAGCGGTACAACGGCAGGAATTCCGAAGAACTTCCTCGCACGTCACACGAGCGTCGGATCCTCGTTCCCGCATGATTTCTACACGGGCCAACCTAGCGCATATATCGGGAGAAAGAGAGAATCGACTTTCAGGCACAGCTCCTTTGGGAGGTCCCTCGACTTTCATTCTCCCCGACGCCGTGCCTCACGCAAGGGTCGGATCATAAGTGTCGCTCGTCTGAGCTTGACCGTAATTTGGGCCCTCTGTCGTCAAAGCTCATCCGCCGTGAAACTTTCCTGCGGACCATGTCCTGACATGAAGAGCGGAGAGAAGAAGCGGGGTTCGTAATACGTCGAATCACGCGGGGATTTGGTTTCTTCTTTTTATTTTATTTTGTTCGAATCAGTCTCCAGCTCTCCTCTTGGATCCTGCTGCACAACCGGCGGATCTCGACGAGCGATACGACGTGATGCCGGTGCTTAGGCAAGAATGTCGCGAGGCTGCACGTCGCGGCGGCGCAGCGGCCGTCAGCGCCGTTCCTGCGAGCCAGCAAGTTCCATCCGAATTGTGAGCGTTCCTCCGACATCATCGCACATGAAATCCTCGATTATCATCAGATATCAATCGTCTGGTGCCCTCCTCGGCTGTATAAACACTGATCTGCCACGAGGGATCGATATTTCTGCGTCTGTTTGATTGGAAGTCGATCATATGATGACTGATAAAGTTTGAACGTCTCCGTGTCATCAACGCCTGCTCCGGCGAACCGGAAAACGCAGAGAGAAGATCTGAGCCCACCCAGAGCTCGCGTACCCTCGTTGGGGCACGATCGACTCCTGAATTATTCTGCGAGGCAATTCTGCCGAGGTACCGATCAATCTGAGGGCAGGTTGGAAGGATAGCACCAAGTCTCGTTGTAAAGCTCCGAACGACTCACGCGAAGTCGGTAACCCCCTCCTGGGAACAGACTCCTTTCTCGTAGAATTAAACCCTCGTTCTTTTCAAGCGCGTTTCCCGCGTGGACAAACATTCGTAGGCCCGACCGACCCGACAGACGGAAAACGTGGCGTTCGAATCTAGAGCCGAATTCTGCGGCTGGACACAGCGGCACATCCGGCTAAATTCGCAGCTCCTAGGCTCCAAGCAGCCTGACCCCATCAAAACTACGCTCTCCTGATGAGCAAAGATCGAGTATGAATTGTCGTCATCATCATCGAAAAAGGTCGACTCTGCGATCGCAGTGCCATCATCATATTGCCGTCGAGAGACTCACTCAGTGAACCTGGTGCGCCTGGGAACGCAGGGGGACGGCTTTGGTTCAGATGATTTCTTCAAGCACCGGGTCTCGTCGGCTGTTGGATTATCGTACTTCCAAGATGATGCTGTAGTCGAGCGTACATTGTGCGTGAAGAACCCCATGACGCGAGCATCGTACACGGTGACAGATGGATGCCCCTCATCGAGGAAGACCGACTCACCAGTCAGCCGAGTTCAATTGGGAGGTTCCCTGCCATCGGCATTCAAACTTTCGCGCCTGTCGCCGCAACCGAAGCAGCGATGGCTCACGGTCTCTCGCGCCGCTGTCGATTTCGTCTGCTAGCTTCCACCAATGATCGCAAATCCTACCATTTGGCCGTACCGTCTTCCACCAACGATCGTAGATCCTACCACTTAGCTCGTGCCTCCAGCTCGTCCTTACGCTCGCCAGCCGGCCAGCCAGCCCGCCCGCCTGCTCGCTCGCATAGACGACACCGGCGGCAAACGACGACGACAAGCGACGGAGAGGCCGGCGCTGGCTGCTGCCATCGCCGCTGCTCGGTTTTGTGTTATTCGGTCGTGCGGCCGCTACAGCCATCGAACGGACAACACTGTCTGTGTTTATAACAGCAGCAATAAAGGAATAAGTAGCTGTGGTGCAATCAGTATCCGTAATACAGAATCGATCGCGACGACACTAAGCTACGCTCGTATCGTACTGCCTTTCGGAAGTTGCCAACCCCTACCGGATCAGCAGTTATCGTCGGAGTTCATTGATAGAGGATAATTCAGGAGACTGCCACTGCATCATATGAACAGCTTGATTCACTCATCGTTGGGAATCTACTCCATTCGAGCTCGTGAGTCACATCTCCACGGTAAGTGTTGACGAGACGAGTTTGATCTTCTCTTTCGTCCCTCTGCCTGCGAACTGGAACTCACGACGACGCGGTCCGCATTGGGCGGACGGTCGCACGATTTTTCGACAGCCAGAGGAAAGCTCTTTGAAAGTGAATTGGAAGTCGATGAAACTCGAAGCCTCAGCTCTCTGAGCCTTGAAGAGCTTCTATGCCGGCTCCGTCGACTTGCATTTGTTTGGAAATCTGTCAGAGCACGGTGATTCGCAGACTACGGTCTCATCATGTGGTCTCGACACAGCACTTCGCCGACTCCCGATTAGAATGACGCGCTAGCGATCCAGAGCACTCGGAAATTCCCTCAATCGGTCTCATCGGTTCCGGTGTTCTATTGATGATTTCCATAGACTCCGCGGAGAGTCGATTGATTCCTTTGGCAGGGACATCAGGTCGGCCGCGTGGGCGGACAAAATTGAGGACTGACCATATATGTGACAGCGGGCCGGCGTTAGTATTCTCAGATGATGAATCGCCGACACGACGTCGCGAATTTCCTAAGGGGTTCCCGATATTCCTCGTCTTCAGAATCAGACTTGAAGCATGGCATGATGTCGCATGTTTCCCTTAGAACCCTCCGATTTTTTTTTGGCGGAACGATCCCTCCGATTGACCGATTGATTTAGTTTTGCACTCCCATCGGGAATGTATCTAGCCGGAACATTGAGAATTCCTGATTGCAAGAATTCTCGAGTTTCTGCGGGATCGCAATCCGTAGAATCCTCCGAGGACACATTACCCGCTCTCGTTGAGGCATCCCATGTGCGAATATTCTTCCCCGGAATCGATTCGTTAGGTCTCTGGTGCAAACACATGGCAGTCGGATTATTCTAAAATTACTCCACGCTGTCGGGTCAAGGGCCAGCAACTGGTTTATCGCCCTGCGGGCAGAGCGCCCGAAGATAGTCTCTTTCGGAGGCGTCAACCCTCAGGCAGAAATTAACCGTTTACCTCTCCCGACTCCGCGCTTCATCGCTCCTAGGGACGTGTCCATCGTATCTTGGCGACTGTTCCGAACTGATACGTGGTCAGTTGCGTCGGGGTACACGCTGTGGATCGAGATCTCCATGTCCCGAAGTTTTTCGACCGACGGCGTATTTTTTCCTGCCGGTCCTCTTCGCAGTCTCTAGCGCACTCTCTGTCTTCCATACAGGGCGTGTCCAATACTACGGATCGCTTGGACAGAGGAAGCGCCTCGTTTCTTTCCTTGATATCCATGGTCGCTTGCTTAGCGATTGTTGTATCATGCTTGTTGACAAATCGGCTCTCCTCGCGTGTCGGGCCAAGCTCTGAGGAGATTTATTCACGTTCGCCTACATTTCGGGATCTAACTCGCATGAGAATAGATGTATGAGAATATTCTCCTGGATGAAGCGCTGTGGCCGAAATAGGGTAAATATCCCAAGCCGACAGATTCGATCGAGCGTTTCCTTCTACGGCCGACACCCGAAGATCCCGATGAGCGATTATTCACTCGATCCAAGACCGATGATCGCTGTGTGCCTCCCTAGGTTTCTCTTCGTCTGTTTCCTCTCCAAACTATTGATCACCAACAATATTCCGCCGTTCTATGATTCGGGAAATTCATTTTTTAGTCGCGCACAGATGAGATATCTGGTGCATCCGAGCTCTGCCCTGTCGTTGCCGTATTCTGAAGCATTTTGTTTGTCCTTTTTCAGGAGGAAGCCACGCATCTAAATGATCCTCTCAGCGTAATTCTCCAGGAGCGATTGGAGGATGTAGAGGAGGCCTACCCGTGGATCATTCACCTTGAGTTCTGTAAACACTCTGCTGAATTGTGTTGGAAGCGCTGGTGCCCTGTTATTTCATCATCCCCTCACGCCATCATCGACGCCTGAGGATGCAGTCATCACTCAAAACCCCAGGCAGCGTAGCTCCCTCAGGTCGACCCATCAAATGCGTCGTTGTGGGAGACGGTACCGTGGGGAAGACGTGCATGCTCATCTCGTACACAACTGACTCCTTTCCCGGTAAATATCTCCCCATCATGAGCTCCTCCACTTCAGCATCGGGGATAGGGACCGAGCTCCTACATCGAGCGTCGGTTTTTCCATCCTTATTGGATTCATATTTTCCTCAGGCGAGTACGTGCCCACGGTCTTCGACAATTACTCGGCGGCAATGACGTGCGATGGAGTGGCCGTGTCCTTAGGTCTATGGGACACAGCGGGACAAGAAGACTACGATCGCTTGCGACCTCTGTCCTATCCCCAAACTGACGTTTTCCTCGTGTGCTTTTCGGTCGTTAGTCCGTCGTCTTACGATAATGTCCTCAGTAAATGGCAGCCCGAAATCAAACATCACTGTCCCGAGGCGCCGATCATCCTTGTGGGTACGAAAAGCGATCTCCGGGACGACAAAGAAGCCCTACAACAGCTACAGGATCAGGGGATCGCCGGACCGATTCGTCGCGATCAATGTCAGAAACTGGCGACGAAAATCCGAGCCGTCAAATATCTCGAATGCTCAGCTTTAACGCAGCGAGGCCTGAAGCAGGTGTTCGAAGAAGCCGTGCGCGCTGTTCTGAAACCAGAACCATACAAGAGAACCCCGAAGAAGTGCGCACTCATGTAAAATACGCAGACGAGCAGCTGTGGATCGGCGCACGCAACGCCGACCATCTTCATCTAGCCCTCCATACTGATGAGTCGTGAACGATAAATATTTACACCATATTTTGGATACACGTTATGCTGCGAGTGGAGCTCAGGGCAGGATCCTCGAATGGATCGGGACTCACCGGGGACATTGCAGAGAGCTTCGATCCCGACTGAGAGGAATGAGAAGAATGATGCACTTTTCGGAAGCAGTTTTTTTGGCTCACGCGAGCAGGAACTCGCGCGCTTCGCTTGTCTCACTGAAACGCGATGGCAGAAGCGACTGCTCTTCACTGCCCCACGTTCGCCTGCGAACCTTCATTAGTGGAAAGCTTTTCTTCAACTACCTTAATCCCTTGCGACGGTTAGAATCCGTCCTCGAAGCCGAAACCCCATTCCGTATTCGGCTCTACTTGACTGTTTTCCCGTGTCGATCCGACATCGGGACCTCGATTTTTCCCCCGAAAAATTTTGTTCGAATCTCAGCCCGGATGTGAACCCTTCAAGTCATAAGTTTCGAACGACGTGTTCTGAGGTGTATCGTACTCCGCGATTCTTGCCGTACGATGGTCCCATTTTGGCTTGAGAGCTGCGCCGGGGCTTTTGTCCTGCTGCACTGGACCCTTTTCTGGAGTTCGTGATGTACGGGATGCATGACTCATTGACTCGTGGAATGAGCTGAAGTAAATTACGGTTCCGCAGGAGCGGAAGATGATAGGGATGTTCAATGTGTTGCGGGTTCTCGGTCGATCTTCGAAAGATTTCAGTGATTTCGAGTCGAGAACCCCCGTAAATCAAGATCTTTCTCGATGGATCACCCGCACGGGAGACGAAGAAAATACTTGGATTTGAGCGTGAATACAATAAGGAACACTGGTGATAAAAAGCAAGCGGAATATATAACAACGATGATGAGAATAATAATAAGAAAAATCCAACAATACATTTTGGGACCTCCAGGACGAACGACATTGCGTGCTGAGCGAATAAATTTAATATATTTACTAAAATCGAGTTTTCTGAGCGGTTTTGGATGAAAATTGTGAGATTGATCCCGAGCTCGAATATGATTTTTTTGCAGCTGCGGAATGCAGTGGAATATTTATGCCCCGGAAAAGCTCCCCGGAGCTCGTGTGAATTGCGGTCAGAGAAAATGAAGAAAGGAATTTTTTTTCAATACTTCGATATTTTTCTGTAAATATACACTTTCTGCTCTCTTTCCCTGCGTCTGCAGCGTTAAAATCTATTCCGAAATCAGCGTTCGTTGCAGTTTCCCTCGTATTACACTTTACCTAACAAAGTGTTGTCGTCCTCGTCGTTTCTATTACTTTGACGCTGACGTCTACGTGCAGTAAACACCGCCAGTGTGGCGTCGTTTGAGAAATCGGAGTTTCGGGATTCTTGGAGGAGTTTGAAAAGTTTTCCCGAACCCTACCTCACACTCATTTACATAAATCTACTTCGGAACATCTCTCCACCATCCTAGCTTGACTTTTCACAAATCTCTAGAGTTGTATCTAAATTTGCTCCGCTCCCGACAGCGAGTTTGAGCCAGAAGTGACGGAAACGATTGAATGGCAGCCCGGGTTTCCGAGACGGGCGGAACGTGACCCCGACAACCTCAGCAAACTCTCGAATGATCCGAATCAAAGTTTGAGGTCGAAAAATAGTTTCCTCACTCTTCAATAGGTAGGCGGATGCTAGTTGCTCGATCAACTTTATACACAATCTTCGCGGCTCGGGAAGGGACCGATCGGAAAACAGAGCCAGCTCCTCGGGAAGGAACCAATCGGAATACAGAGATTCGATCCAGGGATCGATCAGTTCTCTTCTCAAAAGTTCAAATCTGATTCCCCATACCCTAACCGGGTCCCTCTGACTCATCTTCAGGAATGAAATTCGCGTAGCCTGGGGTGGGTCGGGGAGAACTCTTCAATCATTCCTCACAATAATTTAAAAAACTTTAGGTAGCGTTCTCCCCGATCTTCGGTCGAAATTCACAGCGACTACCTGTGGTTTGTACACTTAATAGCGCTGCTCAAGCGTACTCCGGGGGCGAGCTCCGACGGATTATATACATGAACGGAAAATTCGATTTTAACGGCTCTCCAACCAGAAATCGAGGTCGAATCGAATTCAGAAACAGAATCGGCTAGATTTGTCCTACTCTCTTTTCCGATGTTTTCGTCTATCCGGAAGTCCGTCTATTAGTCGTCGCACCAGCCAGGCATACGTGCGTCTCCCCATGAAGTGGAGGAATGCGCTCTAGGTTCGCTCAGAAATCGAGTCGATTTGAGGCTGGAAGGTAGAGTCCGTTCCTGAAGGGACCTCGATCCGAGAGCGAGTCAAATGATAGATTTCGCTATTCGGAAGCGAGAGCACCGTCCGTCCCCACAATGAGGTCTTGGGCATCTAGCGCGCCCGGGTCGACTTGTCGGCGTCGGCATCTAGATCGATTGCTATGTATGTACAATTAATCACAGAGGCATCGGCACGGCACGTTTTCGGGCGTCCATGTGAAGCTGTTCTGTCCTTTCCTGTTGTCTTCACTCGATTCCAAATGTGCTGGACTCTTCCACCGCCAAAAGAAGTTTCTCATAGAGCATCTCGAATGAAGTGTACGGCGGAAGATCCAAGCGATTGAAACAAGTGTGAGCCCTGGAAGTATGAATTTATTGTTTTGAAATCATCATGATTATTTTTCTTAGCAAGCCCTTCCCTCCAAGGGCCCTCATCTGGACAGGTTCACTTCTCACGTATAATCGGATAGGAAGTTGATTGAGCAGGGGGAATGGATGAGAAAATGCGTACGAACCTCGGCAAACTCGTCGGCTTGCCCCATTTCTCAATGCAGAACTTTCTCGGACCATTAGATCCTCTCAGCGCTGCGAAGCCCTCGTACGGGATGCTAGAGGTTCCCGTAACAAATTGAAGGAGACGGAGCCGTCGTTCGTTATCGAAACGCTCGATCGCCATCCAGAACCATTGAATGACGGGGTAACTATCGTGATACCCTGACCGATATTCGGTGTTCTTCCTCCAATCGTTGATGTCGATCTCCATGGTTCCGGCAATGACGAGCTCGAGCTCCCGAGCATCGAAAACACTCAGCAGTCGATGATCAATAACTTCGTGGAATCCTGTTCGGGAGAGGGCAATAGATCAGAGAATCGCACTGTCTCCCGGGAAGGATACAGGAAGGATCGAAAATCTTAAGGAATATCTGCTGGGTCGTCGAACAAACCTTTCACAAGACTTTGGGTTTGTTCGGATACTCCTCGCTCGAGCCGGCACTTGACCATTTTGTCGATGTACTCTTTCTTATTCCGTTCTGTGACCTGAATGTTCCTCCCGCCAGGTTTCAACTCCTTCTCCAACGTTTTGCCCGCGACTTTCTCAATGACCGAAAACGTCAGCTCCAAATCACTTTCTGATATGTCGTTATCGCGCACCCATTGAAGAGATCGATGAAAGGTTTCGTCGAGGTACTCCAAATCGCTTAACGAGCATGGCCTGGAACGAAGGTTTCAGCGACGCCTAAATATCAGACTACTTGTGTATACAGTCATCAATTTCAAGTCAAGGGTCAAACGAAACATTGGTTATAAAGAGAGAGCTCACAGTTGTAGTAACGCCTTGTAGAAGGGTCTCGTGAAGAAGGCATCGAGCAAGAATTGATGGACCAACGCTAGACCCAATACGCGGCCCGAGAAACGGAACCATTCGTGCTGGTTGTCGACGAACGCCGACATCGGGCTCACTTGGACCTGAAGGGAGGGGGAGGATCATGACTCGCTGACCCCCGGTGGAGGACTTCTATCGACATCATAGAGGTTATGAGAATTTCAATGGACTCCTCGTCCTCCTAAATAGTCCGGACACGGCCGAGCTTACAGTGTATGTGTCGTTGGCAGAATATTCGAACAATCCATAATAGGGGTTGAACAACTCCCGACTGAGGAGGAAGAAGAACTCTCGAGATGGACCACCGTAGTCCAAGCCCTCTTCACCGGCGAAGCCGATATACAGACGACTTTTCTGTAGGTCCTTTTTACTGGCGGCCATTATTTTGTTGAATGCATCTTCTAAAACATGGTCCCTACGAATGTTGAGCTTCAGTTTTGACGGTCCTTGGCCGAAACCCTTGTTTTCGAGTTTGCGGTAGAAGTTCCTCAGTTTCGCCTCGAAATCACGCTTGTAAGGTGCGGGCGCCCGAACGTTCGATCGTTGCATAGCTGGAGACGAGTGGGGGGAGTTTTGTACGGGTTGTTGTGAAAGCGTCGCAGGAACGTAGGACATTATTTCCTGAAATTTCAAAGAAGCGTCACCAATCGACTCTTCGGCCTCCGCCAGAGCTGGAATCATAATCGGGGAATTTCGCTGTAGCCGCGCATAATGATTCGAATCGCTCACCTGTTCAAAGAGGCTGAGAAGAAGATTGAGATCAACGTCGTGACTAAGCCTACTCAATGAAGACACTCCTTCCTGCCGGATTTGGTTAACCATATCCTTCAAAACGGTGTTGTCTCGAATAGACGGCTGGCGCTCTTTGAGAATGTCCATGATGTTGGCTTGACGCAGGAATGCGACAACTTTGTCGTTGTACGCAGTAGGTGCGAGAGGTACAGTCGCGACAGGGGCGGAAGGAGCAGTCGACGCAGCTGCCTGTGGAGGCCGCGGAGGAGGTACCGGTTGCGGGGACGGCGTAGGCCTCGGCCGTGACATCCCAAGTCCATCACCTTCGTCGCTCGGAGTGTGGCTGACGCCGGCCTGAGACACCGTTTCGTTGCGGGCTCTGCGAGCAGCCAAAGGAACAACGAGCTTGTTGGGATTCAGATAAGGTACGTCGAGGGGCAACCGAGGGTCTATGAAAGTCGTCGTACGAGTTGTGTGATCTGCAGAAGATGAAAGGAATAATCAGACTACCGAATGACGGACAGAGAACGATTTTTGCTCTTCACTTGGAAGAGGAAGAATTATTGCGAAATTGAGATTTCCAGGGAGAACGCACCAATGAAGAATTGCTTTCCACTGCGGTCAAGCTTGGTCTCCCAGCCTGCGGGAAGCTCCTTTGCTTTATCAGCGAAGCGATTGAGAAGCGCGACGAGATCTCTATTGTGTTGATATTTCTCGAAGTTCGGGGCGTCCCTCCGGATCTTGCTGATCATGTGCTTCAGACTCGACGAGCGGTTGTACTGCGACAGCGCCTCATCGTTCATGTGGAGTACATTGAAGAAGTCTGAGCGGGTCAGGAATCGGACCGCGGGGAGCCTCAGGTACTTCGAAGCTCCGGCAGGCGCAACGCTTTGCGCTTGCGAGGCTTGCTGTTTCTGCTGCTGATTAGCGACGGCAACCGCAGCACCGGCTACCGTGGCAGCGGCTGTCGTTGAAGCAGGAATTCCAGGCAGTTCGCTGAGAGGACTGCCTACGAATCCGCTATCCAGCAAACAATTCTCTGGAGAAGTACTGGCTGCCACTCCGCCTGTGGCTTGATGATGCGCGGAACCGGCGACCCCCGTTGACAATGATGATGGGCTCGTGGTGAGAGGAGGTGCTGGGGGAGGGGGGGAACTTCTCCCTGGGGAGAGCATCACCGACGGAGGTGTTGGCGTTGTTTGTATATTTATTATCCCGTTTTGAATCGTGAGATTCGGCTGTGGAAGTATCGAGGCCGCGACGCTCGACGCTTGATGATGATGATGATGAGGATGCGAGTGATGGTGATGCGAATGATGATGGCGATTACTCTGATGGTGGGCAGGCTGCTGCGGGTGCGATGGCGACTGCTGTGACGGGGGTGGAGGCGGCGGGGGCTGCGAATCGTTGTTCGTGCCGTCCCGCATCACGAGACCGCGATATTGACGATTCATGCTCATCGTTCTCCTAATGCTCTGGTAGCGTCTGTCCAACTGCTGTCTTTGCAGTTGTTCCGTGGACAACGTCGCCGCCGACATCGCCTGCTGGGCGGTCTGACCGGCGATGGTCGGCGGCCCGGGCCGCGTCCAGGTCGTCGTTCGGTTGAGGTGATCGATGTAGAAAATCCGACCGTGGGCATCTCTTCGGGCTTCCCAATTGGTCGGCAGGGGGTCGTCGACGTCAACTCGTTGGTACCGGACGGTTCTTTCCGGTATCGATGGCAATCTCGTGACCACATTGCGACCGTGCATTCTCCTAACTGCAGTTCGAGACGAAGTGTGATTTTCGTTCAAGTTTGTTGCCGAATCGATGTCGTCCTCACCGTCTTCGTCTCTCCTCAGTCTCTCCGTTCGAACCGGACAGCTGGGAGCTGCTTCAAGACCGTCGGCGGCGCCGTTCACCGTGTCCATCGAAGCGCAATCCTGTGGGGAGGAAAATCTAAATTCATTCATCCCGGGGGAATATTCGGAGTCGCATCGCTTCAGAGCGAATAGAAACAAGAGGATGAATCAGTTTGAGTGCTCTCCGACGTAATTAATGCGGGAATCCGAACCTGTTGCGAGAGGCCTTCCTCAGAGGCCAAGTCTCCGATGATCTCTTGCCGACTATTTTCTCCAACACCTTCGTCATCGTCCTCGCGCTCTTCGTCGTCGTCGTCGTCTTCGGAGTCCTCCGAAGAATCGCTGTCACCTTCCTCTGTCGTTGTGGGTTCATCACTCATGGTCTGCGAGCAGCTGGTAGACGACGAGCTCGACGAATCATCCCGATTGTTGGCTGACAGTCCTGCTTCGGAATACTCGATTTAGCATGCGGAACCAAGCATTCCGGAAAATTTCTAGCGAGACAGGAGGAAAACCATGATTCCGCGTGGGGATGACCTACCCGAACGATGGCCAGATGCGAGGGTTCCGGGTAGAGTCGACGTTATGCTGACCTCGAAAATCGGGTTGGCTTCCGCGAGCGACTGACTCATGGAATCCGATTGCAGCAGTTCATGATTGACTGGAATTTCTAACGGCGCCGTCCCGCTTAATACTGTTTCCTCGGAGTTGGAACCGCCCGTGTGGTTGGAAGCTGGAACAGAACCCAGAAAGTGAAATCTCGGTCAAAATTAAAATTTTTCAGCTGTGAATGGGAAGCTCTTTTCCTTGTGGAGCCTTGAGAAAGTTGGTGCAGCGAGAAATTGTCCTGGAACGCGAGTGACTTCCAAGAAGCAACGTCATTAAGCGCTCGGCGAAAATGATTGCGAGTCTAGGAAGACACACGTATGGGTCGCGAATTTTTCACTATTTCAGCCAAACTTCAGCCAAACGCATCAGCGGTCTGCTCTCGCTGCGAAGTTTGCCAAGCTGTACAAAACTTCGAAACAAGGTCATTCGTCGTCGCTGCCGCTACCATCATCGACGTTGCCGCCGCCGCCGCCGCTGCTGCTGTTACAGTCTAGTCCGACGCACGTGTAGACCTCACATAACTTTTCGGAAGAGCACTTTTGTCGGAGCGGTCCCGCCGAAAGCATCGCGGTCCCGCGTTGACAAACAGCGCGGCGGGGCGATTTCGATAAGCTGAGTGAGTTGCGGATTTCCGAATGCCCGGCGAGCAGTAATCTAAAGCCAGAAGCTTCTGACGTCTAATTCGCAAATCGTTGACCCACTGAGCTGCGTGGCAACGGCGAACATCCGTCACCGCTAATGTGATCCCTCACGAGGCGATCGAGCGGTCCCGAACTCCATCTCGCTAGAGGTTTGATTCTTCTCCTCCGCACCCCGAATGTAGATAGTACATATTATGACAGATGCTCACGATACGACGCTGTTCCACGATCTATGATTCCCGCTTACCGATGCTGCTGGAGCTCGGTCTCCGCGGCGAGACTTGCTCCAGGGATAGACGGGAAATGTCCAAGGTCTGTTGATCTTGAGGGAAATCGTCTTCGTCATCTATTCCGGGGGGAGCCGTCTCGTCGTTCGGATAAATTTCTTCGGTGTCGTTCCCGGCAAGCATCTCGTCCCTGTCCTCGTCCTCGCTCATAGAACTATCACAGTAGTTGGTCAGTGGCTGGGCAGACGATCCGGCATCACCGTTGGCTTGAGGGCTAACGGATTGTCCGCCCTCGCAAATGGGATTAGAGGCATTCGACCTGCGATTAGAATGCGCGTGATAATCAAATTACTGCCGGACAACACGGGCAGCTCACTGACGGGCCTGATCTCGGGGTCTGATCGGGCTACTTTCTGCACAGAAAACCACGTTCCTTGTTTCGCTTGGTAATAAACAAATACTTCCATAAATCGAAATTCCCGTTAGACACAGACTGAGTGTGCGGGTGACAGGCCGGGACCTACCTTTCGAGGGGCTTATGATGATTCCGCTTCGGAGGCAGGGGTGGGGGCGGGGCCGTCTCGTCCCCAACTCCTTCCGAAGCTCCACTTTCTGTGGTGCTCTCATCGTCGTCTTCGGTCGTCAGCGCTCTCTGAGAACAGCTCTGTGTCGATTGCTTCGAATGAGCGGGTGGCTGCGTTTCGAGCTTCTGTTGCTGCGTTTGGGCCTGCTGGATCGACGGGGGCTGGTCCGAGGTTAGAGCTCGACGCTGGAGCGCAAGATAGCTGCTCTTCTTTGGTGGGGACTCCGGCGCTGGCGGCGGAGGTGGATTGTGACTACTGAGCGAGTTGCTGGAACTCGTCGTCGACATTGAGCCGCCCATGGATCCAGCCCCGTCGGCCAGAATCGGGTTTTGAACTTGGCGGATATGCAGCCAGGGATCGACAGCGCCAACTGTCTCCAAGAAAAAGCTGAACAAAAGATTCCCGCTTATCGGGTTGTCCGACGGATTCCGGCTGAGCAGCGGATAGCTCAGCTCGGCGACATTGTTCGGACCGCATTGGCCAATTAGTTCCTGGATCGAAACTCGGAGTTTCCCGAGAAAGCGAGACATTAGCGGTCGCGGTCTCGAGAACTTGTCCTTGATTTCAAACTCGAGTACGTCCGTCGGATAGGCGATAAATTCGAATTGGAGCCGAGTCCATCGAGGGTTGACCGTGCTCTCGGCCGCCGTGGTTCGGCAGACCTGCCCGTGATGCGGGAGCAGTAGAACGCCCTCGCCGTTCCCGGGCTGGATGGTCATTTTGGTATAGGGGTCGGGACTGAAGAATATTCCGCGTTTGAGATTCTGCGCATGGAGATTGGTGACTGTGAAGCGGAGCATTTCCTGCGGAAATTGCTGATTCGAGTAGCCCATCAGGATCTGGAACGATTCAGGGAAACCTCTCGGTTATCATCGATGACGATAGAGCGTACTCGACACGATCTTTCGGAGAACACTTGTTAGACAAGGCTCGATTCTTGTCTGATCCGTTCCCCTGCTCGGCGACATATCGCACGTCTGCATGTATACCGCAGGGGAGCGGAGTAGTACGTAGGTAGGACATCGTTTCCTTAGTTCCATTTGTCCCCTCCAGAGGTAAAGTTTGATCGCTCGAAAAATCCCCTCAGACTTGGCATGTCCTTGTCGGCCTTGGAACTAGCTCGGCAGACGTTCTGCGAGCACACCGCAAACAAGTGGGCCCGAATGGACCCACGTCGACCGGGCCCTTCGTTCCGAATGTTCCTCCGATGGCTCGATATACAACGTGAATTACTCGAGGCCGTCAAATATCTGACGAATCCAGCGCTGATCGATCCTATATGCCCTGGTAAAACACATCGATGGACACGCACAAAGAGAAGTTCCCGACGAGCGGGAAACTTTTCCCCGGCTCGACTTTCTCCTCAGAATTGGACATTGATAAATAATAACCGACTGGTTCTAGACAAGAGCGTCGCTTCAGGAGCTCAATGTCAGAGCCTCGTGATCGCCATCGATGGAGAGCCACAGGTCTTTTACCACTGGCCGCTTATTGGCAAATCTTCCATTCGGCGATTCGATCATCTGAATCGGTATTATCGATGAACGTCTCGATGGAGCTCCGCACCCGATCAGTTTAACCTTTTTTGGATTAGTAAGAGCTCAAGACCATTGGAGCGTAGTCGCGGTCTGCGTTCCGGATAACCAGAAGCGTCTGTTCGATCGACTCTTACCTCTTGTTGAGCCTGACTGGTTTTACAAATTTGCACTACAGGTGAAACGGCGCGACATACTGCAGATGGGCCATGATAATAGCGGAAACAGGCAGCCACAACCTGTTGATCTTCACAAGTGAACACATTCTCGCCCAGAGGCCACAGTACACCTCCTCGGCATGTTAAGTGACGTTGTTTCCCTGAAGCTCCTTTGTTGATCTCCTTCTTGTCCAAATATTTCTGAGGGTCGGTTTCGTCTGAAATCAGCAAGCAAACGTCACAACGACCGCGATCTCCTTCTGCGACGACAACGACGACCCCGCAATCTTTGTTCCTGTTGTCGTTGTTGTTCTCGTAGGCATAGCCGTCAACACCGATGTCGTCCCCTCCGACACCACCGCCGCCACCGCCGCCATCATCACCACCGAGAATACGACCGCAGTTCGCGATGGAGTGTCCCGACTCGGAATTCGCACTCCTTCTGGGTTTGCCCGGCTTTCCGTTGCGACGGAAGGCGTTGCGTCTCCGTAAGCGACACCTCCCGCTCGCTTTGGTAGCGAATTCCATTTTTCCTTGCTTGTCGTCAGAATCGTACGCGAGCTCGCTCCGCCATGGGCACTAAGGAGGCATTGCGTCTGTGTGCCAGTAGAGGAGAGTTCGCAAAGCATTGCCGTAGCATTCACCGCAGCCACCAGCAGCAGCAGCAGCAAACGTATCAACTCGCCGGGGCCAATCGTCTCTCGCCTCTTTCATCAGCACGCTTAGGCGCGGCGTTAGGTTCGAGTGTCGAAACGAATTGTATCTCTCTCGTCGACGTCGTCGATTACCATCACTCAGCCTTCATGAGAGCACTCCGCCTTGAGCGCGTTCAGTTTCTTTCGAAAGTGCGCGCGCTCTCTTCCGAACCTGTTCGGATCTCCGTCGACAATGTGTCCGCAGCTCTGGTCGACCTTCGAATAGTTGCCGGGGACAGGAAGTTCAATGGAGGACGACCCGCGATTGTCATCGATGAGCAGAGAGATCGCGCCGAGTCTCCGACATAGTGGCAGGAGTTCGCTCAAAGCGGCGCTGAAGCCGAGCGAGAGGCTTTACTCCGAATTCGATTCGATCTCGGAATCATATTCCCATTTGTTCGGAAAATCCGCCATGGATCTAATTTTAGAGCACCTTCAGCGAAAGCGAAAGTGTCAAGAAAAACCGGATGGTGGTCTGCGATTTTCTCCGCCCAAAGATAATTCTCATTCCTTTTCTCTCCATACGATGACGGTCGAAAACTCGATTGGACTCGGGATAAAGACGACACCATGAAGGCTAATAGATGGAGCGCAATCGAACATTGGCATAGCGACGTCGACGTCCAGATCTGGTCGAGCTCGCTCGCATGCGGGGACTTTTGATCTCTCTCGCGTCAAAACACTTACCCGTCCTATAGAGTCCTATCCAGTCCGTCTGGTGCACTTCTTCTTTGATATCCCAGGTCAGTAAAAGGGGCTCTTTCTGGCCCAGAACGAACTCATCACACGACACGACAAGACTCGATCGCGAAAGCAGCTTCAATCTGGAATAGAATTTGACATTATGTAATTTTTAATTGGATCGCTCCATACCGCATCCATTCGCATCAGGTGAGTTCCGCGAGCTCGGGACGCCCAGCACCGGATGCGATCGAGGAGAACGTCGGAATAATCGAGGCTACCAACGCTCGAAAATTCGATGGTTCGACTTCTGATTCGAGCAGTACTGATACACTTGCTCAATTTGAAGAGCGAGCCATCCGGGAGAGCTGACTCGACTGTCCAAGGGCTGTCCACCCTGCTCTCATGATGAGCCGAGACCGTATACGATTCGCCGCGCTCTGAATCGATTCAAAACATCGCTCCGCATCACGTCAATAGACGAAGCTGTGGTTATGAGGCGTTACGTGTTTGACATCGTTCGACACTGAGAGTACCCGGCGGCGCCGAGCGCTCTCGTCAAGCCTGACGTCTGATCAACAAAGCCCAGGAGAAAGCATTTTGCTCGGAGATTTCTCCCACCGCTTCCACGAAACGACACCGAAGGTCTCTCGTATGGGGGTCCGGAACCGAGTTCAAACTCATTTCCTGTGCGTCGGGATGCACACGGCTCCTGCGAGCGGACGATTATTCGCTCGCCCCCGTCATCTACCCGGCCGTACTTCTTTAATCAAAATTTTCCCGAGAGAGAAGCCTCAGCCGGTGCTCTGAGTCGCAAGCCGACTCGATCCGGGAGATCTCCACGCGGGTCCTAGAATCGAGAAGATTTGCGTCGCTCGGTCGGTCACCTCGAGAAGTCGCAAAGCGGCCAGGGACGGTAACAGGCCGAGAAGTGATCAGAGATGGCCGACACGATTCACGATTTCTTTTCGGGGAGGATAGACGCCGGGGTAGCGGGGGGCACTCGATAGGACCCAAGGGGTCGACTTGTTTTTCCGGCTCGAGAGGCACCGTAACACTTCGGGGAATCGATTGGGAACGTTTGCATTGATCGGAGGAGTAACGGCTCGACTAATGTGAGAGCCGTCAGATCGGATAGAAACTTCCAGCCTCCAGGATGGCAAATTTGTGCCCCTCTGCTCGAGGTCATGGGACGGAATGCACGATTTGCCAATCATCTATAATCCAATAATCTATCCTCGATGTCCTTGAACTTCAGAAGCTGCGGGTTGAAGCGCTGGCGAGCCGTCGAACTGGCTAGGGGAGTTGCTCCCTAGCCGCCCGCTGGCTCACCGATCGAGCGATCTGAGCGACAGAGATCTAGTCCGGGACACAGTTTCCGACCTGTATCAAGTGGAGCGAACGTCTACATGAACGACTTTCAATGTCGGCGGAATTCGCTTGAGGGATTTCGAAATCAAGCGCGTATCTTGAACTTTGAAGGGCTAACCCACATTCCACCCGTCGGATCAGCGATCCCGATTACTGTCGAGCCGAACAGGGATCGTCAAACAAGTCAGACCGAGCATTGGACGCCGGAGCCGCCGCCTGCCCTTTAAGTATTTACCAACCTCATGACTTAGCCTACAATAGAAACTTGATCTGATATAGGCACGTCGTATCGCTTGGCGAACCCGCGAGCGGAAGTGACACCTACGTCAGAGAAAGTTCTCTCTGAACCGCGTCGCACGGCACGAATAGAACAAGCTCGTCGCCCTCATGAAGTACGTACAAGCATACGGGTCCTTCCAGTATTCTTTTAATCCCGCCTTCTTGTACATTCTACGGAATTCCCAGTTCAGGCCGAGAAGAAGATGACTCACTCACTCGCCCGATCGATGAGCATGCCGAGCAAATCGGGCGAAACAATGAAGGGGTCGGAATCGAAAGGGAGGAACAACATACCTGGGCGTCGGTGCCGGCTGCGGGCTCGAAACGTTCTGATTGTGTGAAGAGCGTGAAGGAGGGGTGGAATTGTGACTTCTCTGTGGAGAGTTTGTATGGCGCTGGGAGTGTGCCAGGGCCCCTGTGGAGGGGCCCGGCTGAGATGTGGGAGCCATCAGAGCCAGGGCGCCCCGGCACCCTAAGGGCCCTCAGGGCCCACGGAGCTCGGATGCAGGACTGGGCCTCAACCGGTCAAACCGCTCAACCGATTGCCTGACAGCGGCAGTTCAGCAGAACCTGCTTTTTTGCTGTCCATTGGTAGAGCGAACGTCCACTGGTGTTGTCATCCTGCGGGAGAAATAATTCTTTCAATAAGAGTACCTCTCGTCAATATTTCGGTGATTCCTAATTGAGTCCTAAATTCTCGAAAAACGCTGCCCCAGATCTTCATGATACATATTCGTCAGGAGAGAGTGGTCTTTGGCTGTTTCAGAGTCATCGCTGCGGAAAAAGTATCGATGGGTGCATTTTTCTTCGTCAGGGAGGCCCTCGGAATGATAAGACCCGCGAATGAACGAACACTATGCGCCTATTAAAAACTCTTTCAGAGACTCCTCGCTTGCTTTCGACGGCTCAAAGAATTCCGAGGAAGAGAACAGACAAACCCTCGGCCACTGTGGAGCACCGTTGAGCATTGCTGTCGAAGTCAGATCGAATGTTTATGGTTTTCATGGCACGGACTCGAACCGTCACGACATTTGATTCACCCGAGAGCAGGAAATACCAAGCAAAGTATACGCCAACGCGTTTCGTTGATACAGTCGCTAGACCGAGTTATATTGCACGGCCAGTACTGAGGGCCAGTATCGTCCTTACCGGAATTCGCCCACACGTACATGTAAATTGCTCATCCTATATCAAGCAGAGAAAACAGCGATCACGGATGGCTACGCTCAACTTGGAGCTTCTACACTCAGAGTTAGCAGGATTTATCAAGTCTCATCTACTCGGGGTTTTGAGCGGGATGTTCTGACACAAAAAATATTAGCATCAGGTCTTGGTCAGTCATGGATCAGTTCGGTTCTTAAGGGAATGCTCGCGCCGAGTTTAAACCGAGACTGAGTGAGAGTTCCGCCCAGACACATTGAACGATCAGGCGTGTGATCACGCCTATTCCGTCCAAAAAAATACGTGTCCAGGCGCGCCTCACTCAATTACGCCAAGAGAAGTTTTTGGCGATGTAAATTTAGCTCGAGATCGAATCTCGTTGGGGACTCGACCCGCATCTATGCGGCCAGCTAGTCTATTTTCGAGAGTTTGCGTACAGGAATTGATTTTGCCACCGGAGGGGAATAGAATGAATGCGGCGGTGCCTTCGATGAGAAATTGGAGATCAACTCTGGAAGCCGATGCTCGACCGCTGACCGGGCGCTTGAGTGCGCGCGGATGAGCGAACGGACGTGGTTTCGAATGCGACACGCACACAAAGGTTTGGACAACATTGTTCTGGCGCAGCAGTCCAGAACAACTTCGCCGTCATCGTCTTGATTCAGCGCAGCCGCCAGGTTACCTACACCACTGAACCTACCGCCATTGTTCCACATTCATTCGAGTCGTCGTCAACTTCCTTTAATTCATCCTAAAACCTATCGATCGGGATCATTGCCAGCCAGTGGAGCCATCCACAGGACCTCCGTGGCCAGAGACCGCACGCGACCGAGTTTCGTACATCGAATGTCAAACGCGCTTTTCTGGTCGAACGGATCATCATGATCGTGGTCGCCGTTGTCGCCATCGTTGGCGTCTTACAGTTGCGGCAGCGAGGAGTATTCGCCGGAACGATTCGTTAGGAATCGAACGGTCTGTCCCGATAGAATGTTCGACAGCCTCAAAGAGAGAATGAGTCACTACTGCTCGAGACGAAAGATACACAGGTGACTTGTGTCGCATAGCGGACAGATCGCTGCGCAGAAAATATCCTATCTGATGAGAACTTTTTTTTTTGTCTCCGTGGTGCATGACCACCACCGCCGCCAGAAAGCCATGGAGCTTGCCATGTGCGCATCGAACAATTAACTCGACGCTCTCAGTCGTTGTCCAATCTGAATGCCACCGAAATGTCAAGTGACCCTGTCGTTAGCGGAACTGCAAATAGATTAAGGTCGGTGCCCTGAAGTGGACTGCTTGGCAGGTCGACTGACTGCCTGACTGACAGACCGACGACCAACTCACTGACCGGGCATTGTAGCATCCGTCGTGTTTGTTGTAACAGAAGTCACCACGGCAGGCGTTCCGTGGAAACCTTCCGGAAGATCCGTCGTTCCGATGTGAAACATCCGCCGGCGAGCACGAAATCGAGAGGTCTCGAACTCCCGTCGGGGAACGAGCGGAGAAGCGACGGATCGAACGAAACGACTCGGATCCTCTGAACATCGGCCTGAGAGAGCCGTCGAGAGCATCCACCAAAAACGAGAGCTCGTCCGAAGTCGAGTTCATGGAAACATCGAAGCATGAACTTAACATAGTGACTCGACGTTCTACTGACCATACCGACTGACGCAGCTTGCTCCTGAATGTATACAGATTTCTGCGGAGGCTTAGAAGCAATAAGCACATTGCTCCGGTAATGCTGACGCCGAGCCACCAGAAGATCCAATTTACACTGTCGTCAACCGGGAGGGTTTTGGGGCAGCTCGTCCTCGTCCGAGACGAATGTGAGAATACTCCCTGGAGTCACAACGAGTATAGCTGACACTCCGACGCTTCAGAATTGAATACGAACCCTCCCTCACTCTATCACGTTGGCAGAAGTCCCAGTGTCATCACTAACCTTCCTGAAAGCTCAGCTCGGGCTCTAGTCCGGATCGGGTTATATGACGAAACGGAGCACAGAATATAGCGTCTAATTGAAATACGGTCGCAGGCAGTGGAAGAGCGTCGTGAGTGAGTTTTGGGATCTGTTCGGTGCAGCCGCTACTGCCGCGGCTGCTCCCTTTTTCTTCCTTCCGTCGAAGACGATGTTGGGGAAACACAACAACAGACACAGTCCGATAGAATTGACGACGACGACGGCTACTAACGCAGCGGCGGGTAGTAGGGTATACGACGACGACATCCGTCCTCAAAACAAACCGATCCACCATGAGAATCAGAGAGAGAGGGGGAAACAGCACGCGCGGGAGTTTTGAATTTTACAGGGTGCTAGGGTCCTGCGTGAGCGGAAATTGAGAGCCCCCGTTTAGGTCTCGACGACTAAGCAAGTCTCCGTAGAGATCATTCTAGTGCGGGGAATTTCGGGCCATTACATTAAGGTTCTCAGGGACAGATACGGATCCAGAAGAAGTTTTCCGTCTCCTTGATTCCTCCCGCCCGACGCTCTTCCTTCATCTGAGAACTCACAAGTTCCTCGATTGCGTCCTCTTCCTTCTCATGCCCTGCGCGATCTCCCGATGTCACCTCTTCGATAAGTGAGAAATCTTGTTGATCGACTGACAGTCTTGATGTTGATTGTTCCGGATCGAGTGGGCATTCTTTCCGCCAACCCACTCGCCAACGAGTTTCAGTTTACTAGATGCCGTCAGTGTGTCAAGAAGGCGGCGCGGCGATGCTCCTCAATTCCGCGCAGATCGAGTTCCCATTCGATATCGATGAATGGGATTTCTATACCAAAACCTCGGTCCAAACGGCGTTCTCCGCCGCGTCGAAGCCCTTCAGGATTCCGCTGGAGATATCAGGCATTTGTACAGCGGAATTCCCGTTGAGCGCTCTAGCATTAGGTGTTCGCATGCAAGATACACGATGTGTCACGGTGAATGAGGTTCGAGACGCATCCAACGCTCGAGAAACTGTAGCCATGCAGCGGCCTTCCTGCGAAGTTGAAATTCAGCGCTCCTGCTCTTTCCTCTTCTCCCTCCCGTTGTCAAGAAGGCTCGGTCGGCTGGGGAAACGATTGTCGTGTACGCAATGGCGATCCGCGCTTCTCGTTCGGTCGTGAGCATGCTAGATTGAGCGTACGATTCTACATACGTACGTTTGACCATGAATCGACTCTTTGGCGAACCCATACGAAGAGTACGGCCCGCAGGAGCAAAATCTTTCGAGGGAGAGTACAGACGATGATGTTGGTGATTCTTGCTTGGTAACCAGGCTCATCCAGTGGCCATCCATTTACCACCTTTTTCCATGCGCCCCATGGGGATTCTCGCGTCGCAGGCGTGTTTTGCTCTCGCCGAAGGGCAATACGTCCGAGGAACTCGAAATCCCCTTCATCCGTCCCATTATGCTGTCCTTTAAATCGGGAGATGACGTCTAAAGCCTCGGGGGGAAGTCATGTCGAAGAAGTTCCATCAGAGTGACAAGTTTCCGAAGCATCGGCTGGACTTCCGTTTCCCACAAATCGAGCCCCAGTGAATGAGTGAATGAAGAGCTCGCATTCCACGAGTTATGCTGATGTCAGGACCTCGAGAACCTTCGCGACCTGGTCCAGATGCTCCTACGCTTCGTTGGCATCGCCTGTGTCCGGACGGTCGTGCTAGTTTCTGCTCCGGAAGCCTCCCGCGACGGGAGAGCTCATCAAGAGGTAAGCACTGAGATAGACGAGAAGGAAGTCAGGATGCTCCATCCACTCCAGTGGACACGTTCCAGGAAGGTCCGATTTGGCTGATTGAGACAGCGGAGTTCCGACTGATTATCTACAATCTTTCAACTAGTATATTACGCGAGGCGTACACCTGTCGGAAGCTCACTCGCACGATGCATCCCGGACTCCCCGGAAAGGTCCCTCTCCGGTTTAGGACCGTTACTCGCTCTTATGGTACGGATCCAACACTCGAATAAACATTCACACAATTTTGCAGGAGATGCCGCTTCCAATGAGGATCGGAACGGACGGGAGGAGGCAGTCGCTCTTTTGTTTTTTGAGTTTCATTTCAAAATTGCGTATGTATAGCTTGAAGATATTCAGCAGTCATATTCCTCCGGAGTTTTTCCTTCTGGAGTTCAGTCTCCAGATTATGATGCCGATACCGAGCCGAACATCCTTAACCCGAGTCATCGTCGCTAATCTCGTGCCACATTGTGTCCGGCCCGTGCGTTTGTCGTGGGCTTGTAGAGCCAAGCGCACACACTTCGGAGAGCTCCGTAGGCCGCAGGTCGCCCCTGTTATCGAAGCACACGAGTGGATCCGAAATTCTTGGAGTACGGCTTGGCTGCGGAGAATGACTCCAAGACGAGGATCCGATATCCTGTTGCAGCCGTGGATGGAGACTTTCTTCGAACGATCATGACGAACCCCTATGCTGAGAGCATCGCTTCGGTCGAACTACAATGGCCAACTTTGATCATCTCCATAATCGTCAATCCGTGGCCGCCTTTGAAGATTTCGTCCGTGAACCCCCCCGAATTTTGGATACTCAGAACTCTCGGACTCTTCAGGAGCCGTATTGACTCCATCTGCATCGATCAGCGCTCGGTGGTCGAGTCCAAAGCTCTTCAATTTCTTGAAATTTTCTACCAAAAAGGCGAAGCACTCAGAATCAGACTAGCTCTTGTATCCCTAGATGGAGTTTGGAGGATCCTCGCTCTCAACGTCCCGAATGAATTGGGCCGAGCTTCCTGCTTGCCATCGAAACAAGAATTGCAGATTCGTCATCCAACCGAATGTGAATAGTAGCGAAAGCCCGGTACATATGTTTTCGCAGCCCTAGAAGAGCTCTGCAGAAGATGGTCAGGATTCCAGGAGAGGAAAGCGACGCGCAGGACACACACTAGCTCGATGGTCGTTAGGGACTGTACCGATGATGAGATGGTACTCAGCGAATCCGGCTCATCAACGGTGCAGGCATAGGGCCGTCAAGCTCGGCATCGATTCGATAAACGTCTCGCGCTCGGACAGCGTGAGATGTCGAATATTGAATGAAGGCCATCGTGTACGCTCCCGCGCCTGTGGGGTATCCTCCGAGAGCGTCAGGTCGAGATCCTGGAAGGGGCAAACACCAAAAACATGACATGATAAGAGCATAGCTTGGACAGATCGCCGAAGAGGAAGAGAGGTCATGACGTCAGAGAGAAGCCTGACCGGTTCACTATCTCAGGAGAAGCCGGAGTTAGGACAATTCATTCAATATCCAGCCTCTAACTGGGATGAAAAGGTTTAACAGTATAGAAGGGTCTTCCGAGAGTCGGAGGCCCTATCGCGAGACACGCCTGTGAGTTTAACTGATGTCAAACAAACCCGCTTCCTTCGAAGCCCAGGTGGGCGGTTCGCCAATCCACAAGCCCCGAGCGGTAGTTGCAGCATTATCGAGGAACCCCTAAGTCGACTCACCCTTCGAGATCACCCTTCGCGATACCAATTCGTGCAATGTTGTAGGATTGCCAGCGCCTGGCTCGGGGATCGAGTGATCTCGATCCTCGATCCCTGCAGGTCGGCTCCGTCCTTTCTCAAGAAACCGGAACCGACTCTGAAGGGATCAGCTGAAAAAACTGTGATCGTAAAAGCCCCATGCGGATGTGTATACAGAGAGTAGTCAGGATCGATATTCACCGCTGGCAATCCGTTTCTCCCTTTACAGGGGACTGATCGAGTAGCTTCCAAGTTGATGAAGAGCTTGTCCCTTCAGCGGCATCTTCCCCAAGACCTGACAAGAGGAATGCAAGCTCGAAGTTAGGTCGCCGTACACTCCCTCCTTGATCTCGGCCCGAAAGGGCGATTGATTCGTCCATGAAGCGAGGGGAAACTGCCTGTTTCTATGCGAGTCAGGGTGATTGAAACTACCTGACATAAGATTTTTCTCGCCAAAGAGCTCGTAAACGGAGGCTTTTATCGACATGCGAAGGCACGAAGCTCTGAACTACACGAGAGAAACTCCTAGCCCGTGACCGCCCCTGCTGGATCGCACATGCGGTCCCAGCGCTCCCAATCAAGGATTGACCCGCCAAGAAGAAGATTGAAATCCACTTTCGGAAGGCACACCTCACGAAATGGCTCCCTCTAAACTCCGTCGCTCGTGATGCTAGAGTATGGGCCCCGAGAAGGTGCGTCATCAGTTTATCAGATGTCCGAGAGTACGGGATTTCGAGAAGTTTGGACCAGTGTCGCATTTGAAATGAAACCGAGCGCATTTACGTAGGTGCGTCGAAATCGATCTCGGAGATCATCAGGATTGATTGAAACTCACCTCTCACTCAGAGGCCATGGGGCCCGGGCAAATAGCAGGGAGCAGGGAACTCCTGGCGAAGAGCATGTCGCTATCGAGGTAAAGTGTGCATGTCGCCTATGGTGTGCCCGTGCAGATCTTCCGCGGGCAGAGTGATCACCGCGGGCGCTTCGTCTCTACTCGACGCCACGCCGCGGCAAATCGCTGACATTCTGCTCAGAAAGTCGGCGACGGCCTAAGTGTTCATTGGATGATCGTTTCCGCAGATCATATGGAACGGAGATATTATACGCGTTCCGTCCGACAGATCCTCAGAGAAGATTTTCTCCGCGAGAGGAATGCTCAATACATTCAGGATGGCAGAACGCGCGACCGGCGTCACTACCCCCGATCGGCAATCAGCCGACTCGAGAGCAGCGCCGCCGGACGGAATTCCCTCGAAGTGACCTGGAATAGCTCGCTCGTCAGGATGAACCCACCAAGGAGTCGCGACTTCTGACCGACAGCTGGCTCCCCAAGCATCAACCGTTTCCGTGCATCGAGGCTCCCCAAGGAATCGGGGGGCTGGGAAGGAGGTTGTTGGTACGGAACGTTCTGAGTTCGGTTCAGGCCATCATTGTGGAAGTCATCGCAATTCAAGAATTGCGAGCCTGGGGCTCCTTAGTCTCACGATCGTCTCGAGAGATATAGACGGTGGAATGAGCGAAATTTTCGCAGGGAGTTTCTTGAATGGGGGAGAGACCGATTCGGGATGTCGCACGAATGTGGTTCGTTGGTTCCGTTTCTCGAGAGCTCGTCAAAGCGAGTGGAGATCAGAAGGGAAGAGAACAGTGGCTTTTTCCTCCCGATTTGAAAGACCGAAGAATGAGTCAATGTTCAAGGAAAGCTCGAGAATTCGCCGGAGTATGAGAGACTATCCGTATAGACCTTAGACTTTACTGCAGCTCTTTCCTCTGGAGTCTTGTGACCAAAATTCTTGAACACACCTCCATTCCTCAGGTTTGTGATTCCTTCTAAGCGCGGGACCCCCTCCGAAGTCCTCGACTATGCTCGGACTTCGTTGAATATAGTTCCGAGCGTACTAGTCGGTGGCCCGGCCAGACAAGGAATATTTTCTTGTTTTTCATCGAATAACCCCTTAGTATGTATGTAATGCATAGTGAGAAATTCTGACGCACTGGTGTTGGTCGATACTCTAGCAAGCTATGATACATCGAATATATTCTCACAACATCACACGTTTCCCCATCACACGACCTTCGGGATCCCCGAGAGCGGGATCCGGGACCCCAGAGGTCCCAGGACTTTCTTTCGGGAACCCCTGCCTATCCCGACCACTCTACCCTTCACATGGAACGGGATTTGCCCGTTTGAAGCATTCCACAAGTCTCTCAATGATCCGCCGAAGAGGAAGAATCGTTATGAAGAGAAGCTGGCCTTCAATTGTAAAACTTCAACATTAACATCAATTATTAACAATTAATCTTCAAATTATGTAAATATAATTATCATATTCCTTCAGAGGTTGACTAGCTTCATGTGGAGATCATCGTCCTGTTACCAAACCGGTGACCTTGACACCGGGTCTTTTCCGCGAATATCGTGAGATAGAATTCCCGCCCATCCATCTATCGTTTATCATGAGCTTGTTGAGCCGCGGACACAGTCTCGCGACAGCTTTGAGAGAGCTCTTCGTTATCGAAGCACACGAGTAGATCCGGAGTTCTTGAAGAAAGGGCTGAGTGCGGAGAAAGACTTCTAGACCTGAATCCGTTGTGCTGTTGCAGCGGTCGAGGCTGAACTTCTTCAGACGATCATGATGGAGCCCTATGCTAGCGAGTGCAGTATCTGTCAAACTGCAGTCGCCAATGTCGATCGACTCCAGAAACGTCGATCCGAGGCCGCCTTCGAAGGTCTCGTCCGTGAAGCCCAACGCACCTTGGACACTCAGAACTCTCAGGCTCTTCAGGTGGCGTATTTTGACACCATCCGCATCCGTCAGCGCCTGGCAGTCGAGCTCGAGGCTCTCCAGTTTCCTCAGATTTTCTATAATCCAGGAGAAGCACTCAGAATTAGGTTTGATTCTGGATGTCAAGATGAACTCCCGGAGGTCCGTGAGGCCCGAGAAGTCCCGAAGGATTTCGATGTTGTACTCCACAGGCCGCAGGGCTAAGGACCGCAGGTTCGTGAGTCTCCCGAATGCCACCAGCGATTCGGGGGCGAATTCTCGCCGCGAGAAGAGATGCACTTGAAGCGTTCGCAGTTTCGGGAGTCGATCCAGTTGCGTCAAAGACTGACTGGTCAGCTTCGTGAAGGCTATGCCCAAATACTCCAAATTGGGATTTCGGGATATAAGTCCCAGCAGATGGTAATCTTTGAAATTGAGAGCGAGATCGAGATACAAGTGCGTCAAGTTCCTGCAGGCCATGATCTCGTCGTATGCCTCAGTGTTGAGCGCCAGGCACATATGTAAGCGCAGCTCCCGAAGAGTTCTACAGAAGGTGCGCACTATTTCATGGACTGAAGCGACGAATAGGTCGCACTTCAGCTCGATGCTCGTGAGGGATTGCATCGATGTTGAGATCGTCCTTAGCAAATCCGGGTCATCGACGCGGTGAAGAGACAACGTCTTCAAGCTCGGCATCAATTCCACCAATGTCTTGTGCTTGTCCCTCGACCAACATTCGGACAGAGTGAGATGCCGAATATTGAACGAAGGCCAGCTGGTGCGCCCTTGGGCCTTGAGAGTATCCTCTGGGAGCGTCAGGTTGAAGGAATCTGGAGTGAGGCGAAAATATCATGTAGTCGTCGGCTTCCCAAATCTGTATCCATCGGCCGTGCGGGATTGATTCCCACCGGGACCGTATGGGAAACCCTCTCGTATATTGGAGGTAGAAAAAGATGGGACTATCCCAGGGAAGAGAAGACCCAATTCATTCCTTCCGGGATATGCTTGTGATTTGAGCGTGTACTACACACAGGCCGATTCCGCGAGAGCTAGGATCAGCGTCGATGCTAGGGTCCGAGCGGCGAGGACTACGAATTTCTTATCGACTCACCTCGTGAACGAATTTCGAGCGTCTCCAACTCAGTGCAGTGCTCGAGAATAGTGCACAGCAGACTGACTGTGAAACTACAGTTCGTGATCTTCAGAAGCTGTAGGTCTCGGCCGACCTTTTCCCAGAAAGCGGAACGTACTTTGAAGAGATCCGCTGAAAACGATTATCGTGATAGCCCCGTGCCACCGATTTTTTCTCTCTAGGGCTGGAAAGCTTTCTGGAGCGATCTTTACCATTGACGATCCGGATGTGCCGATATCTCCGTCTGCTTGTGATCAGAATTGGGATGCACTCGCTCAATTCTTCTCCTCGGACCACCAAGCGGAAATCTACGAGTGAGGCCGTATATTCGGAAAGTCGGCGACAAAGCAAGGCGGTTTCGAGTCGATCAAACGGATTTATCTTCAACAATATCTTTTCCAAGAGCTGGGGATGGAAATGCGAGCCGTGAGTTTCTCAGCGACGCGAGTACCCCGAACTCCCGCTCAATGATCATATAGTTTATCTCAAACATAGGTGAGCCCGTGCCCAGCGAGTTTTCTATGATTCGGGGGCGTCGGGATTGAATCAATCTCACCTCATCTGGGAGCTCTTCCATTGTCTGCTTCCGGAGAGTTCAGGGCTCAACGCTCATCGGATAGACAGAATCTCCGGCACGCGAGATTCGTCTTGCTTTACAGCTCGGACCTGGTGATTTATGGCTTCACGCACGAGAGTACGGTCATTCGAGCTCTGCGGGACGAATTCCCCGCAGGCAAATTTCCCTAAGCTCGAGTCTGAACTTTCTAAGGCTGAGTCTGAAGCTTGACGACTTGAGCTTGTTGAGAAATTGGGTGGAGGACCGGTCCGATCGTAGCCCTAGCATTTGTGGGAACCCGCTCTCCGGAGCGTCAGCGTCGGTCAAGAGTGATCAACCCTCGCCCTGGATGTGGGACGCGATGGGGCAGTGGCTGGGGTGCGGAGGAGCCATCGATCGGCACTGGATCGAGCAATGCTATCGCTGCGATCGTCGATGACACTCTAGTGACCTGCGGATCCGTATCCAAAATCGAACCTCGGGCTGGAGGAGAACGTATGCTTCAAGCGGGAACATTTTGCGCCTCGTCTATCGCATACGACTCGAGGCGGGACAATTTTGAAAAGCATCGTCGCAGGAATATACAGGCGGAGCAGATGTATTTTAGTCGTATGCAGAGCAAGACGTTCCGGCGACCCCTCTCCATTCGGGTCAAGCCTGCCCGACCTACGGCCTCGGAACACGGCTCAAAATCGGCCTTTTCTGACCTCTTTCACGGATATTCATTTCACGGATATTCATTTCACGGATATACCGCATATTCTCCCGAGGATGAGCGAAATCGCCTTTCAGTTCTTTTGTACCTTTCGTAGCAGCCCGCAGAAAAAAGACCATAACGCAAGAGACTCCCGGAAATTCTTCGCCCTTAGGACCCGACGAAACTCGACCTTCTAGCTGGCGTCGTTCCCAACTCATTGCCTTGTCAAGAATTGTCCCAGACCATTTGCCCTCGTCCACATGCTGCGCGTGACCGGAGTCTGCCATACATGCTGGCTCATCACCAGCTTGAACATGGAGCTTTAATCCCGGGGATTAAATGCGGCCACCCAGCCGACGGCAGAGCTTTGCCTTCCCGGAATCCGAACTCACAGACCACATCGAGAGGAGAAGTCGACTTCCGGGAAAGAAATGCGCCCAGAATGCTATCATCGGGAATTCTCCGAGTGTCTAGGGAAGTCCGTTCATAGATAGAGGGTGTGACGCGTCGGAACGCAGGAGCTCATGTGTGTACATACAATGTTCCCCCGGGAAATTATGATTCCCTTTTTTCCAGTCGATTGAACCAATTACCCGGTCCCCTGGGTGTGACATGACGTCGGGTAATCATGCGAAAGAGAGCCAACTCGCGCTCATGTGATGCAATAACGGCCGTCGTGATGGAAATCACGGAGAAGAAAGTTCAGGGTTTTCAAGTCAACGACTCATTGTATTTACACGCGTTTGACTATCTGAACAACGTCTTCGTCACAGAGAACATGTTCTTTGCCGACCTTTTGTGGATTGTGCTTCACGCTGGAACCCCAAACGAGAGCACACTTGAACTCTTTGATTAGGGTACGGTGAACCTTATCACAAAAATCTTCAACGGTCAAATGATCCCGGGTCAAGATAACTGGCGCTTCGTAGTCGGGCAGCTGTCCTTTCGGCTTCGTGTAACTGGAATCGGAGGCTAGAAGTGAGACGCGGAGCGAGATTCAAGATCAAATCCTCTCTGACTGAATTTACGGAGGAAGACGGCACAAGTACGAGAGTTCTGCGGACAAGTTCCGAGGAAGATCACGAGGATTCCCCCCAACTGATAGGCGATACTTACATTCGGATCAACTTCAAGTATTCCCAGGCCTTCTCCAAAAGATCATCGAAGTTCCAGCGATGATGCGCCGAGATCGGTACGCAGTGCGGAACTTTATAAATGATGTCAAGTTCCTCGATAGAGATCTGATCGATTTTGTTCAAGACGTAGATACACGGGATATAGATTCGATTTCCTTCGATGACATCGATAAAATCGTCCTGAGAGGCGTCGTATTTGAGAACGACGTCGGCATTGTGGATTTTGTATTCAGACAAGATTGCCTTCACAGTTTCGAGATCAAGCTCGGTCTGAGGCACGAGGCATTGAAGGTTGACTCCACCTGATAAAACGGAAGAGATCAGCTGGCATTGTTCGGGACTGAGAGGAAGTATTCTAACGAGACCCGACAGAGTCCGAGACGCCATCTCTAATCATCTTGAAGCAGAACCGGAAGGGCGTACCTTTGTCTTTCTTACGGAGGGTTATCTGAGGAACGTCTTTGTTGAGTCGGATACCGAAGCCTTCCAATTCTCGCTCTATGATCTTTTTGTGTAGGAGGGGTTTCAGAACGTCCAGGACGATGAATATCAGCGAGCACGTTCTTGCCACGGCGATGACTTGACGACCTCTACCTTTTCCGTCTTTCGCTCCTTCGATGATACCGGGCAAGTCGAGAAGCTGGATCTTTGCTCCCTGATCGAGTTCGAATGATTAAGTGCGTGGATAATAATAGTCATGATCTGAAAGCTGCTCTCCGCAAATGAGCACTGTACATGGGCGGTATGCGAACGGATATCCAACCTTGTATTTTATGACTCCGGGCACAGTTGTCAAAGTTGTAAATTCGTAAGCAGCAACTTCGGAATAGACGCCCGCCAAGGTATTCAATAAGGTAGATTTTCCCACAGATGGGAAACCTACGAAACCTATTCGGGCGTCTCCGGTTTTCGCAACGTCGAATCCTTCTCCAGTGCCTGCGGAAAATCGTAATCAGCGGCGTCCACCGGACCGTGGGTAAGGGAAAAAATTCCTCACGGAACTCGACTTACCGCCGCCACCTCCTTTCGGGGTGAGGAGCTCACGTCTGAGTTTGGCCAGTTTCGCCTTCAAGAGACCGAGATGCCCCATAGTTGCTTTGTTTCGCTGGGTTCGGGCCATCTGGAGAGAGAACGATATCAGTGAAACCCTATACCACCAAGGATCGAACGCCCATGAATCCCATCGAGGGATTCATTCGACGAATCTCTGAGGACGTCTATATTGCCCGAAGAGCTCTTGGGTGGGCCTAGAAACAGCAGCCAACGTTCCGATGTCCGCGAAGACTCAGGTCTGACAGAAAACATGAATACGGTTCGGATGTCTGAACGCAATGGCAAACTTTTTTTCGCCCGGGAAAATATTCGATTTCCCCGGAGCGCGGGACGTCGATGCTCAGCTCACCTCGGCCTCTATCTGGGCGATTTTCTCCAGCGTCGACATGTTGTAGAATCACCCCGGGAATGCGGATGGTACGATTTCCCACACCTCGGATCAGTCGAGAGGAACACACGTTGTCTCTTTGTTATGCGGTCCCAGCGGTACGACTTGTTCTGTCGACTAGGCAAACCCAAAACAAGAAAGCTCATATCATCAGAGTGCAAATGATAACATTTCTTAACGGATAACCTTCCAGAATGAGGTGTTAGATAAGCGGCTTCGGATTGGACTCAACCTAATCCTATCGACCGGAGACGTATCCCCGCCATGAATTGATCGCTCGAAGCTCTTAAGATTAGAACAGCTTCTTGCTGCAGTGCGATCTCCTCGGAAGGCTCTTAAAGACCTCCCACCTCTCCGCGGTGCTCCGTGGATCGCTCGAATCATAAGCATCATTGTGTGTGAGTCAGAAATGCAGTAGTGATGTCCGCAGGATCCGTCGCCGATAAAAGCACCCCTAATTCCCGCTTGTACTCAGAGCTGTAGATCGTTCCTCCGACGTCAAGCGAGCGCCATGGACTTCAGTATACGGAACCTGAAGGGGTTCGCGTCCGACGCGGCCACTGCACTCACCCGAGCTGTACAGGTGCGTGCTTAGTTAGAGTAGAAGTTGCAGACTGAAAATTTGTCACTCTAGAAACCTGCCACGCCGAGAATTTCTAGTTTTACCCCGTGTATTCGAGTTTGGTCTGAGCGAGCTCACAGACGTTCTACGATTCTCAACGATGTCATGACTTCGCGATGAACTCCTCCGATGGTGTTCTGATCGAGCTCTAACCAATGTCGTCTCTACGGCCCGTCCAATGTGTAGTAGACGGACGACCGCTTACGGCTATCTATCGTGAACTGCTGGCTCTGGTCGCACATCGTACAAATGACGAATTATTCATTGCGACTGGGCATTCTCACAGAACAGACAAATTCCGATGCAGACGGAGAGCACTCCTGCGATATTCGGGGATCCCGGCACCGAGCAGCACTTGACAGGTCGCCAAGATCGTTTGTTCCTGGTTCACCTATGATTTCCCGGATCTGGAGCTCCCGGGGAAGGTCCCTCGCTGTACATCGGTTGGTTACTGCCCGGACCGCGGAATTCGATCCTGCGCGTGAACTACTATCGTAAAGGTCGCCGGTCTCATCTGAGAGGGTCTTCGATACCCCGAGAGCGGCCCTCACGAGTAGTGGTCGAAGAAATCTCTATCGAACTCGAATTGCGAAATCAGTCGCCGTGTTCGCTGAGTAACTACCACATCAGTTCGGCATTGTCGCTGTTCTACTAGAAATGCTGAGTGACGTTTGGCGTCGTTCCTCAGCGGGTACACCGCTGTCAGACCACATCGAACCAGAATGCTTGATCGAAAAGCCCATAAGCAATCGCCGAGTTTTGGATTAGTGTCTCTGACGATGATCTCGGAACGAGCTCGATTCGCAGAAGTGATGACATTCCGCGTCTAATCGAACGCTTGAGCGCTCCGGATCACTCTCCGATTTGACCTTTGATATTAAAGATGATAAATACGAGTCCTCTCTTCGAGCAATACGCTGACTGGGAGGATGCCGGCTAACATACTTCGTTGGAAGACCGCGTCTCTCGAGTCATCGGCAAGGCTCACTTTTCTCGAGGCATCTTGAGAAGGACAGCTTCAAACATCATGACCGTTGAGAATGGACTACTGAGTACAACGGCAATATGAGCGGCCGGAGGAGATCTCCAGCGCTCGTGAGATTCTTTGAAGTGCGTGGATGGCCTCAGAAGAGGGTCGTTCCATCGCCGGAAATGAAGTACTCTCGAAGTCTTGCCGAGCGAAATTTCTTGTAGGGCCCGCTTCACGTTGAATGGAGACATCATCCCACTCGGGTTGATATTGACGGAGTTTTCATTGCCCTCCATTTTGGATGACAGTAGAGGAAGACTTCAGGGTTATCGAATGTCATGCGGCGGATTCTTCTCCGACGATTCCTTCCACGGCATCCCCAAATCTCCGTCCGAATCATCCCGTCGCGCTAGATCAGATTCTACTCGATCCTGCATATATCTCAATCGGAACGCTGAACATTCAAAGTGGAGGCTCGATGCGAAGGCATCGATCTCGACATTCACTCAATCTCTTAGATTCGTCGCTGGAGTCTTTTTCCATGTCGGGAATGTTCTCCCAGCAGGACCGCCGTTCATGTCCCAAGGGGGAATCGCTCCGAGCCGGAGAACAGCAGGCAGCAATGAGCTCTCGATTCTCTCTGGCCGCGATTGAACCTTCCTAGAAACTTATGACGCAACGAGCTCAGTATCGCTCGTAATCGACTATTTCGTAATCGGATCAGCCTGCGTTCGTCGAGGTGAATAAAGTTGTTCATCTATTCCAGTACACGGAAGAACGGCTGGGTACGGCTGGCCGTACGGAACTGGATGCGCACTTCGAAAGCCTCGCACAAAGATCTGACGATACCAAACACTGGACTGAAAGACTGGTTTCTAAAGCGGAGGCAGTCCTTGAGCCCAACCCGAACGTCCGAGTGGAGGACTATCTCTTCGATAAGGTGACTGAGTCATTGCGAATGACTTTTTGAATATGTCTTCGTGGATCAGCTACATTTGGATAGGAAGCCACCCTTACTCGGGAGAGCTTCGAGAAGGATGAATGGAAAGTCTGAAAGAGAATTTTCCCGTGGATTCCAGTTGGAGAAGAAACGCGAACGACTCAACAATCTTGAAGCCCTGGGACAAGATATGATGGGCGCTGGAGCCGCGTTCGGCCCAGGAACACCTTACGGTGAGCCTGATCTTGGGATTCGGGCCCAGGTTTTCCCCGCTAGCTTTCCGCATGTATTCGAGCTCTCACGATAACCTTCTCGATACCCAGGGAGTGCATTGATGAAGGTCGGCCAGACGGAGAAGAATCTGGGCTCGGCTGAACGAGATTTCGGTCGAAGTGTGCACACGCACTTCTTGCAGCCGCTGAGACGCTTTTTGGAGGGAGACATGAAAACAATTTTGGTAAGCCATAATTGAAGGCTTATAGAGTGAATCGATATCCGAACTTCCACAGAGGCGGGCTCCGAAAGATTCTACCATCGATTTTCAGAAAGAGCGTCGGATACTCGAGAACAAACGGCTGGATCTCGATGCCGCCAAGAATCGACTCCGGAAGGCTCGATCTGCTGATCCTCAAGTAAGTGAATCACTGCGCGGCTTCGTGTTCCGAGTATGATCTCCGACTAAATGGCCCTTCCTGGGCCTTATATTCCTATCGGAGATACACGTTATTCCGAAGGAATTGTTCTTCCGATATTTCCTAGATAATCGAACGGTCCATAATTACAATCGAGAGCGGGTAGTGGATACGTATTTTAACTCGCTGTTTCCACCACATGCCCCCAAGGCGAATGCCCAACAGATAGAAAAGGAGATTCATCAGGTAGATATGATGCAAAACTTAGCGGAAAGACTTTTAGTTCGATTTTCGCACGGAAGCTGCATGGCCCTGAGCACCTCGACGTGATTCGTGAACGATTCCTAGAATTTTCCGCCCTTGGAGGGGAATGCCCTCCAATTGAAGCATAAACCAATGATGAAGTCAACAAAATAATCTCGAATTGTGCGCCGATTCCTTATTGGAGTTCTTCGGAAGACAAATCATTTTTTTCCTTTCTGGAGAATAGTTCCTGGATTTCGTAGTTTTTTTGTGATCTGAAAATTTTGTCTGCAATTCACAGAAACGCGTATGTTTTACCGAGCCCCCTGATTTTTCGGGGGCGAGGATTTCTGAAATGTTTGTTCCCTCGTCGGAAATGTTTCTCAACGAGCTCCTTGCAGGCCGAGAAGGAAGTTCAGCTTTGTCAAGCAGAATTCGACAAGCAGGCAGAGATCACCCGGCTCCTTCTAGAAGGGATTTCCACAACTCACGTATGTATACGCTTGCTTGTTACAATAAGGCAGGGATTCTCCCGAAAAAAAGATCATGAACTCTGCCAGATTCGATGCATGCTAACGATTAGTCCTTACGATCCCTCCGAAGGCGAATCATGTGCGGTGTCTCAGCGATTTCGTCGAAGCTCAGATGGCGTTCTACGCCCAATGTCAGAAACACATGCTGGAACTCCAGAAGGATTTGCGTGCACTGAACATGAATGTGAGCTGTGGTAACGGTTCGGCGGAGGGCGGCAAGGTTTGCGCCTTCCAGAACGTGTTCGAAGGAGGAGTCAGCAGTGCACCCATTGAGAGACCCAACAATAACTCGAATTATAGGAAGGCGAAAGTCCTGTACGCATATGAAGCTTTAGGGAGTACCGAACTCACAGTTCAACAGAACGAGGTAAGGGCGATCGGGCACTTCCACACATATCTCGATAAGTTACCTTATGACAGAACATTTGACGATGCTCTGAATTCTCGGCACAAAGCTGCTGAAGTTTCTAACCCGTGGGCTCGAACCCGAACAGGTGCTTGATGTAGTCGACGGTCCCCCCGACCTGGATCCGGACTTCGTCATGGTGCAGCGTACGGAAACCAAGCAAGCTGGAAAGGTGCCACTGGCCTATCTCGAGATTCTTCTCAACTAGTTGATAGAATACGGACTTGATCTATTCCAAATACTTCACATATATTATGCATCAGTCACGAATGTCGCAACCTCAGCCTGTAGTTGGGCCGCGATTCCTCTCAGTCGCCGGTGATCGAAATAGTCTGGCGCCCCAAAGCCGCCTCAGTATTGTGCAATATTTCTTCGAGAACCGTCTCCGCCACGACCTATTCTACTCGCCTTCCCCTTCGGTTTCCCGCTGTTTCCCAATGCCAGCGAGCATGCTGACTCGCTATTCCATGTAGGTACGGAGCCTTGATCTTTCGCTGCTGAGTGTTTCCACTGAGCAAACTATCGATCCCACTCCCGATGTCCGCGAGATAATCGAAACCATGTCGCTGAAGATACGAAGAAATGAGGATTCAAAATGTCTCTGGGTAGGGAACCCCGATATCTTCACGACGCTGTTCTTCAACCTCATGCAATCAGCGTTTGGATAATCTAATCGAATTCCTTAGAGTAAAAGTGGGCGTGTTCTTCGACAGGGGCCCACTCAGATAGGTACGTCCTCGGATAGAATGAGTTCTTGTTTATCGAGTCTGTTCGAAGGTCCTTCGCTGGAATCACATCGAGACCGCCGCGGGAGTGAAAAGAAAAACGAGTCGGCAATGTTCAAGACAATGAGAAGAACGGGCCTGGAAGTTTATGAGATGACATTCCATTAATCTCTCCTTTTTCTGACGTGAAAACGTCTTTGTCGCAGGCTTTGCTGACCAATGCGATGTACTTCGTCCTTCAAGCATCGAAATCTTGTCCGCTTTTGGAGCCTCATAATTCCGAAACTGCGGAGTTTCGAATTATCTGATCATCACTGGGTTGTAAATTTACGGAGTCTCCAGGTGCAATCGTTTGCGAGGCAGATCTATCATTCGATTTCTACAGTTGATTTTCCTCTTACCCCTGGATTCGGCACGAAAGCGTAAAAATAAGCGCGAATTATGGCATAGTCCATCAGTCTTTCGAATGGAATTCTATAAGGCGAGGTCGGCGAGTGAGAGCCCGGCAGAAGGCAGCAGACATTTAAGAGCGAGAACCTAAGGGTTTCTGTTTATTCGAAGACAACTGCCTAAATCGAGATCGAGTCGGGCTTTGATCATGATGTGCTGGGGGTGAACAAGCTTTCCCGGAAAACCGAGTAGTTCTTCTGGCTTGTGGCGAATCGAGCTTATCGACGATAGATGAGACCCTCAAAAGAAGCTCCTGGCGACAGAAGCGGCACGACGACGCACCTTCGTGCTCAGCGAGTGCGCGTGTCATCAGATTCTGGCTCTCATGGGACGACTCATCAAGAGTCGAGTTCGGCTCCGGCTCTTGCTCCGAAGGTCGCCGTTGTCAGAAATGCCGCTGTCGCGATCGAATCCGGTACAGTGAGATCTGAATTCCTTCATGATGACGGAATCATGCGATAGCCTTACTACACTGCTGCATAGCAACGCGAAACTCGGCTCAAAGTTAACCGCGATCCCTGGATGATGACGACTACGCGCTATATGTCGAACTGAAGACCAACAACATTCATACAATGGGTAGATCCGTGTGGCTTTCGATTCCGGATTTGTGAAGCAGAAAAGCTTCCGAAACTCGATTGCTGGCGCAGTTTTTGATGATTATGCCGACGGAATCCAGGAGAAGTATCGATGCCTTCGAGCCACGGAAACCATCTCTCGAAGAATGATTGGATATCGCAGCCCCGTCGGGCAATCAGTGGGCTCTAACCAGGTTTCCATGGAAACTTTAACCCCAATTCCATCAAAGAGATGGCCGATAGAGGGATAGGTCTATTCGCCATGATTTGACAGCTCGGCAAGCCGACCGCTTGCCGGAAAAATCGTCGTTTAACGTTTTCACGTGAATCTGCGGTAATGTCATTGACACTACCTAGCTTCTTGCTTTTTTTATTGTACAGGAGGGTTTTTAGAGCTGATTGAATTTGAACGTGTTGTCTAGCGATGATTTCTGACCATTTTGAGCATCAGGACTACAGTCGCGGTTCCGGATGAACTTAGGAGTTGGTTGCCTATTTCAACTGTTCGAGGTTTGAGTGAAGAGTCGTTGTTTCATAATTCGCATGTACTTAATTCATATCACTTAAAGTGAGAGGGAGACTGGCAGTAAAGGACCCACGAACAAGCATCAGGATGTAAACTATTTAGATCTAGAAGAGAGCGGACAGATTTGGAGTGTCGTTCAGCTGCATGAGCTGGATCAGGTCGCAGTCGGTAACGTTTCGATAAGTTCGTGCTCTACGAGCGGGAAGCAATACTTTACGCGCTACGTCGACGAGGCGGGTTCAGCTGCAGCGATGGCCGAATTTTCTCCGTAATAACACTATATTCTCAGTTAGGTAGCGGAAAGATTTCAAGTAATGTGGAGAGTAACATACTGCAATCAACAACTTGTACCTCGTCGCTTTACTGTTAATTTATTGAAACCTAATAAAAAACAGATAAATGGTAGCAGTGTGGAGTTTAAGTAGGCGAATTTATTATGCGGTCAGCGAGCTGTAGCGTCCTTTTCTGGGTAACTCCGATCTAGATGGCAAGGAGCCGAGGAGCTCAATAAATACAATAAATATCAAAAGCGAAGCAACGTATTCGGTTCTACGTTGGAGACAAAGTCTTCCGTATTTCTCCGTCGCGGAGCAGAATCAGCCTGTTTCAGAGAATCTCGTCTCGCGCAGATCCGACTCCATGCGACAGCCGCACTAACTGAGTAGGGCCGGAGGCCTCAGTAGCGGTTCGCCCCGTAAACGGTGAATCCGTAGATGTCTTCGGGCCGGGGCGGTCTCGACGGGTACTTGATAACGAATCCCGTGTGCGACGGAACGGATGAAGCGATTGACGATGTGTCGTCGAGGACACTCTCACACTCGCCGTCGCCTGGAGAAAGAAGGGGTGCGTGAGTCTCACCGAAAAGAGGAGAAAGATTAGCCTCTTATTATGATTGCGTAGGATGGAAACACGATTCGGCACTTATTCCCGGCGCAGCTGAAGGATAAGTCTCTGGCTGGCCCGAACATGCATTCACGTTCTCAGAGAGAGCCATGGTGGACCGCATCGTGCCGGAAGGGCTCCGAAGAATTCTGCGAATGATCCCGGGAAGCTCCAACTTCAACTCTCAATGGATTCTAATTTGAGGATTCAAAGTGATGCCTCACCTGCGAACGATGAGCTCCCGCAAGAACTCGTGGCTTCGTATGTCTGGTACGGCGGGAGGTTCTTCTCATGGAACGATCTCTTCTTCCGTCCGGATGTCTTACGGCACAGAAAACAATTCAGAGCAAGAGATAATAAAAGACCGAGAATAAGTGCGGCGGCTCCCATTAGCCAAGTGAATGAGAGGACGGTTGTGGATGAGGCAGAAGTGGACTCATAAGGATTAACTGGGAGAGGTTGCCTGGGTGGTTTCCTGAACGAATGATGCCGCACACGGGGAACGTCCTCCACTGGAATTCGCAAACGGTTGTGCTGAGACCACGGGATGGGAAGTCGTCAGGAATTCCTCGGCAGCCAATGTATCAGCCGAACGAGCCTTCGGTCGGCAGAGCTAGGAGTTCTAGTATGAGATATTGCAGCTCCTCAATCCTACGGGGGCTTCTCGCAGGTCAGATAAGAGCTGAATGAATCAAGCGATGGGAGGACCCGTGGATTCTTCCGCTTATTCCGAATGCGGGGGACTTCTTTTCTCCGAGATCAGAATAAGGGGACCCCTCCCTGTACGAACTCAAGTGGACGGACCCGGCGTGTGCTAAGCGTTTGGCTCAGGGAGCTCAGCCCGCTCCTGCTCCTACAGCAGCCCCTCGTTGAAGCGCTGAGTCCCTCGATAATTTGTCGACGTGCTTGCTGACGTCGACGCCATATGACTGATGAAGCGGAGAAGCTTTATCTCCTCTGGACCTCTTCCTTTTGCTCAGCAAAATAAACTTTCAACAGCAAGGACGACATCCGCAGCAGCGGCCGGTGTGAACGTCGACAACGCCAATGAGCGACCGACAAGCAGCTTCAACGAGCTCGGAACAATATTTGAGAATACGGAGGTCGAGCAAATTGTGCTTCTTCGAATGTCTCCCATTAGGACGTTCGATCAATCGGTCGTCGAGTTTAGTCTCACTGTGAGGCTCTATCACTGTGAATACTCCGTTTCAATTTAAGTTGAGAGCGAGACTAAGGCATTCAATACGATGCTCACCAGGCTGCCAAACGCCGACGGCCGGCATTCCGTGAAGGAAAGAAACAACGCCTGGATAGTTCTCCGCCGTTCCTCCTGCTCGACCATCCTGGGTTGCGTTATCAGCACCACCGAAGGTCAGAATCGGAGCAAGAGTCGTGTTGAAGTTGAAGGTTGGTAGTCGGCGTCCTTCGCGTTTCTTCGCTGACTGGAAAATGGAGAAACGTTTCGTCAAGTCACGCGTCGGAGCAAAAGATCTACCCCTCTTCGATGTTCCCTAGCTTTGTGTATCCGAGAATATTTCCGCCTATGGCATTTGATTCCGTAGCGACGGGAATTCTCGCCCTCCTCGCCAGCAGACCGCCCTCGGGGTACCCACGCCGGATTCGGACCGGATCTGGTCGAGGAGCGCGGGTCTTCCGAAATTAGTTCCATCAACAGAAGTATCCGTCATCACCGGACCCCCACTCCGAGGTGCGCCTCGTAGCGAGGCTCCGGGGAGGAGCCTCGGAACCGCCTAATCACCGCTAATTTCTACGGTCGAAGGAAGAGACACCTCGCATCGGATGAGTGGATTCTCGATGAAAGAAAGCGGATGCCTAAAGCAGCAGATTGAAGAGGAGAGGGTCAGTGCCGTCCGCGGTCGCATGGGGACAATTCCTAATTTCGGGAAGACGTTGTACAAGGTCATCCGAAAGAAGCGTCTGAGAGAGATGAGCGGTCAGGCATGCTCTGCATGAAAATCTCATTCGGACTTCTTGCCCAAGGCCGATGAGCCACTGCGTTGTTGGCAGGCGTGCCGAAAGCCTGTCA